CAGCGAAATTAAAGGAATTGCTGACAAAATGACTGAGAATACCCTTAATTGCTGGTTTTGTAACGTTTTTGGTTTCCCATTGCACCTATGCGTTTGGTTCTATGTGTGTTGTAATAGACTTTTTTTTAAAACAATATCAATTTTAGCACTGAAAACAGACGTACCAACTCCGCTGTATGACCATACCCTTACGCATGCTCACAACCATATCACACCGGCAGTGGTTCATGAACCGGCAGTGGCAGCCATGAACCGCTGTTTCGCCCCTGGCTGACACTACCGGGGGTGATATGGCTGTGCGCATGCGTAAGGCACTGGCTATCCCGCTGAGTTGGTACGTGTGTTGCAGTGCTTAAATTGGTATTGTTTTTAAAAGTCATTCACCCGGATATTTCCTCTGAACTAGGAGCCCTTCCTAAACATAGCCTCGACGCTCTACCCCTCCATGAATAAGCGCCCACCCCCTTGAAGAACTAGCAAATAAGCACCCCTTTCCCCTGTGTATCCCCCTTCGCAGTGTTCCTTGTGCTTGTGTTAATATTTTATGACTGTTATTTATGACTGAAATGAAGTAAAATGAAAATGCATGTTGCCCTTTCTAAGGAGAGATATTAGGCAGGCCTATTGCCTGTACTTTTGTTAACTTAAACTTTTTATTGACGACTATTTATTCGCATATCGTTATTGTTCAAAGGGCCTGCCTGTTTTTAGGGCCCCACCTAGCACCTTAGTGGAATGCTTCAGAATGGCGGTGAATTTAGAATTTATCCCCTGAGGGTTGATTTCCACTGTCGCGTAATTTTTACGTGCGTGACTTGCGTAAAATTTACGTTCGCAAATAAAATAGAGGCGATGTACGAAAGGTCGCACGTAAGCGTAAAAGTAGAACCTCGCTCAACTTCACGTTTAATCTCAACACTTTATATCTTGCCTCTATTTTATCTAGGTGATTAAAATTTACGTGCGTTGACGTGCGCAGCCGAAAACGCGTCAGTGGAAATCAACCCTAAAGGAGACTGAAGTGGGCGTGGCCAGGAGCCCATTACCCCCTGGCCTGGCTTAGGGTTCATTTGAGCCCTAAATGATATCTCACTCTAACACAGTATGGTGGCATTTATTTAGGAATTTTTTACGCACAACCCAAAACGATGCTTTTATGGATAGAAATATTGGCTTTCCATCCTGATTCCTGAACATCCTAAGTAAAACAGAGCTCTGCAATTTCTATCCCAAAACGAGACAACGAGTATCCCCTTCATTTTCACGTGGGAGTCTCGACCCCCTCCCCCTGGGAGCGAAACACCACATGAAGACTTGGTGCGGGGAAGATGAAGAAGGGAGGAGGGGGATATCCTGGGGACAAAGCTAGTAAAGCGTTCTCTTATCAGTAAAATGAAGAGCAGAAAACCTTATCATAAAGAGAGCGACAGAAACCCATAGAGCTTATTTGCCTGCGTAGCAAGCGCAAGAAAAAACGGGCGCACGAGAGGGAGACGCGCGAGGGGGGAGGGAGCTCCCTCTCCCTTTGCGTGTCTCCCTCTCGCGCGCCCGTTCTTTCTTGCGCCCACTACTTCCAAGCGCCTGTTACGCAGATTAGGAGCTTACATAAGAGGGCATCATCGTACCAGGGGTGGATCTAGTTGCATGGGGGGATTTCTTAGGCACCAATGCACACCCCTTTCCACCCAATATACACCCTTCTTCACCTCACATCCTGGGGATAACTGCCATATATGTAGTGCCGCTGCGAAGGGTAGGGTTTTTCTACAGTCAAGTCTGAAAAAGGGTACAAGCAGAGCTCCTGGTTCAAGAGTAAGTGATTTTTTTTTTACAGAAGTAAAGTTTCTGGTTCATAGTTAGGTTGGGATATGATAGGGCCTTCAAATATCTCACCAAACATTGGCTAGCAAAATTGCATTGGCACACCTCTAACTATGAATTTATCATGTAACCCCACACGGCAGGAACTCAGATCTGAAGTGAATCCGTTGCCCCTAATAAGGAGAATTTATATGTATAAAAACTATTTGAGACTACCTTCACAAGAAGACATTAATGACAATTTCAATCCAAGTTTATTTGCAAACAAAACAAGAATAATACTCTATCTAGCAACAATTACTATTTTCTTTACAATATTTTTTTAATATTGTTACACAATCAGAGAGATTGGATACACTCCCTTTTCACTTCATAATTAAACTATCAACAAACACCATGTCAGTAATAGAATAGTGTGTAACCTTCAACGTCAAATTAGTCTAATAAGTTCTGTTTGAATACATTGAACAGAGATTATTACAAATTAATACTAATAAACTCAATCTAACTCTGAAAAGATATTAGAATGAATAATAATTCAGTGTTGGAAAATAATATTAAGTTTTAACCTATTAAGTCCTGTGAGCGACCAGAATCAATTCTCTCCTCACAGTATCAATACATAATCAAGAAGAAGGGTAGCGAGATTACTGAAATGATCGCCTAAGGGGAAATTCTATGATCTTTTGTCAAATTCTCTCAACCAATTCTTTAAGTAAATGTATGGAAATCAGGGTTAATGCAGGGAACAGTATCAAACAACTTGGATGTTCCATATCCTACCTTATTTATTAAATAACTAGAAAATGAATGGTAACCTTGTTTATACTTCACATAACTGACCAACCTTAAGCTATGAATAATTTCAAGAAATAACAGCTACACCAGAACCTAATGCACACATGCTCAAAGCCTGTGTTATTTTCTCTTAAGTCACCTGTATGGAAATTACTGGTAAATACAGGAACATTCTCTGGTTTTAACTTTTCCATATTAAGAATGTTACTCTCCCGGAGGGGGAGAGGGAGGGAGAATACTCCCCGTAATGCCCTATACGGGAAGGCTCTGCCAGGCTTCAGGTATATGAAAGGGTAGGTATTTTCGCTAGTTGAAGTATATGAAAGGGTAGGGAAATCTGTCATGTTGGTCTGTAAAAAGACCTAAGAAGGCTAACAGACTCATTTTATGGATGTGAAAAAGTTAAGTTAAGTTAGATTTTGTGATATATATTCATATTTAAAAAGCAATAAATTTAACGTAGTTAAAAGAGATGCAAAGTTCTAAACTAGGTATGTTCAAGGGTACCATTTTTCAATAGAAGATGTACTCAAGGAGTACCTTTTCTGTCAAATATGGTTTATAAAAAGATAGGGGGTTGGACCTTGGGGCAGAACCTCTCCGTGTAAAACTTTGTCGAATTATCCATGGGGTTACACTGTATGAAACTATCAAAATTATATAAATCTCAGTAAGTCTTGCTCTGTTATCTTTGATAATAATATTATACAACTTTTTACGCACAGTGTGCACCTATGTTTTTTGCCATCAGGTTTCATCAACTGAGTTAACAACTGAAATGACTACACTGACTCAGAAATAAAGGCTATGGTAACACAGTACCAGCCACATTTTTGACTGCTTGAAAGTTAGACTATGAGTAGTCCCCCATTTTTCCTCAGGGATAGTAAAGTGGGGTGATTTTCACGCACGCTCACATTTCGCTCGCTCTACTATCACTGAGGAAAAATGCGGGACTACTCGTAGTCTACTTGAAAGTTTCAGTTTATAGGTATTTCATTCTAATAAAACCACACCCTGGGGGGGAAGGGGGGTACTTGGCTAAATTTTTGCTAGGTATGTGCCGCTGGCCTCTCAGAGCCCATACCCAATTATAGTCTTATTCTGTGACCAAATTATAGACCCCATCTTCGTGACTTTTGGGCAAATACGTAATCATCATGATCCTAACTTAGTCACTTTCTATTTTTATGAACTGACCCATTTTTTTAAACTGAGTGAGGAACACTTTACTTTTCACCTGCAGTACAAACATTCTGGTACGTTTGCTCACCGTAAATATGAGGAACTATCTTATCCCAAAACATCCGAAAACATGCGACCCCATTGTAGTCAATCCAGTCGTGAAAATGCGACCCCATCCAGTGGCACATCCTCATTAGCCTCTTATAAGGAAGTACCCCCCCACCCCCCTGGGAACCACATCAACCTTAAGTAAATTTAGATGCATAACTGGTCAAGAATTTGACAGTCAATTCAAAGTCAAATTCTTCACTGGTAAAGATGAAAAATGGACCAGCATGTTGTGGACAAGTTAACCATCTAAATTTTTGAACATGACAGAAATGGAGTTGCATGGATGCATGGTAAATAAGCTGGGAGATGTAACTTTGAATTTGTTAAAGTAGTGCTGTGCTCATGGGCAGATAGTAACACCATGAAGAAAGTGAAAATTCGTGTGAACATAGCAAAACAATAGAATGGTTGTGTGTGAACGAAATTCCTGGTCAAATTTTTTAGCCAGTCAAAAGTTCATCTGTTACAATAATTTGTGTGTCGTTTCATCGAATTCAACTTTTTATGGTGACTATACACTTATTAAGACTAAATAGTGTGTCAATCGTCGATCTCTCCTTTTCTTGAGGTTTCTTGGAGACAGGTCTCATACCAGACAAATTGGTGACCCAAGATGAAGTATAATATTACATCACATTTTAACAAAAGAAGAAATCAAAAAAAGGGTCGGTCCATACAGATTTTTGGATGCAAAATTTAAGACTTTTACCTAACTGTTTGCAAAACAATAATAAATATTTATTTTTTCACACTCAAGACTACCAAATAACCAAAAAAAAAAAAAGTCTTTCCCATGAGGCACTGTCAATATTCAGTAACCACGGACTGTGCATTGTGGACGTAAGAGAGTTCTGAAAATATTTATTCTGCAACTGAGTGTCCTGGCTAAAGATGAGATTAAATGAGATTTGACAACTGCACAGCACATTGCTTTCAGGTCTGAAAAACTGGTTTGCAAATTTCTGTACAAACCCTGCAGGGGATCTACCAAGGACAAGGCCTGTTAACTGTACACCTAGTCCGATTGTATATGTCTCTCTGGTATATTGAGCTAAATTTCTGAATCTAATATTATTTTACTGATATCAAGCAATTAGAAGCCAAAACATAAATAAGAATGCTACCCAAAGAAATAGCTTAGAGAGAAACTGTTCATCTTCTGCTTGCGGTGATCCAGCAGGAGCTAAAAGAGATGAAAGCAGTGAACATTAGATTATAAATATAATATAAAAAGAAATAAAAAAAAATTAACAGAAAATACAGTCAAACCTTGATGATCTGGACTTCGATTAACAGGACATCTTGATAATCAAACTCTTTCCCTCTGATCCAATCGTTTATTTAAACTAAATATTTAATTTAAGTAATCATCAAGACTCAAGGATCTTATTATTTTTTTAGTCAGGCATTGAAAAATACCTTTGACACAGATTGCTTTTAATTTGAAGAGGGACAGTAGTGCTTGCACGTGTTAAAAGTGAAGAAGTGAATTTCAGCCGAATTGTAATTAGTTCGGAGTTGTCTTGTTGCGAAGTTAACTTTATCACACACTCTCCTAATTTATTGAGTTTTATTTTTTGTTATCAATATTCATATTTTTGTTTATCCAGACTCTCAGTAATCTGAAATATTTATGCACCTATCAATGTAAAGCCGGAGGGGGGGCGGGGGGGAGGCAGGGCATGGGGTGGGGATTTGACATTTTTCAAAAATTTGCAGTCAAATTCCCTGCCCACAAGCAAATCATTCCAGTAAAATGCAACCAAATTTCCCCACCCTTGGCAGCACATTGTGCTGTCAAATATCCCAAGGCTGGACCCAAGAAAGGCACAATAAAACTATCTCCAAATAAAACTCTGAAATCTTTATTTATGTTACGTTGCTGCATCACCAAAGATACATGTTCCTGTTACAGCTGCAATAATTATACATTTTAACCATAATCCATGTTGCACTGCGTAGAATACAGAAACCTTTAGGAGAAAGTCCACATTTTGTAAGTTTAAATATACTGTTCTGGGTAAAGGGTACAAAGAAAGTCATCTTTATAAGCTTGATTGTGATTGTAGCGAATGAGACATACACTGATCAATAGTACTTGCAATAAATCGACTTGGTTGCTCTTTACTTCTGTTTACTTTGATACCACAGTTTCTTAAGAGGTTCAATTGATCAAAAACAAGCTAAGCAAACGAAATTTGAAGACAAAACAGTGAAATCCACCCAGCTTTCGCTTGTTCTCGTTGGCCTCCATTCCAGACTGTACAGCGCATGTGTGAAGCGTGGAAGTGGGNCAGGGCATGGGGTGGGGATTTGACATTTTTCAAAAATTTGCAGTCAAATTCCCTGCCCACAAGCAAATCATTCCAGTAAAATGCAACCAAATTTCCCCACCCTTGGCAGCACATTGTGCTGTCAAATATCCCAAGGCTGGACCCAAGAAAGGCACAATAAAACTATCTCCAAATAAAACTCTGAAATCTTTATTTATGTTACGTTGCTGCATCACCAAAGATACATGTTCCTGTTACAGCTGCAATAATTATACATTTTAACCATAATCCATGTTGCACTGCGTAGAATACAGAAACCTTTAGGAGAAAGTCCACATTTTGTAAGTTTAAATATACTGTTCTGGGTAAAGGGTACAAAGAAAGTCATCTTTATAAGCTTGATTGTGATTGTAGCGAATGAGACATACACTGATCAATAGTACTTGCAATAAATCGACTTGGTTGCTCTTTACTTCTGTTTACTTTGATACCACAGTTTCTTAAGAGGTTCAATTGATCAAAAACAAGCTAAGCAAACGAAATTTGAAGACAAAACAGTGAAATCCACCCAGCTTTCGCTTGTTCTCGTTGGCCTCCATTCCAGACTGTACAGCGCATGTGTGAAGCGTGGAAGTGGGAAACATATGTTCGGTCTCAGTCTTTTTCGTCCGAGTTGGCAGTCAAATATCTCCATGTCAGGCGAAGAACGATTCAAATATCCCCTCCCCTGGGAGGACAAGATCAGTCAAATGCCCTACCCCAGGGCCAACAAAGACAATCAAATCCCCACCCCATGCCCTGCCTCCCCCACCACCCCTGCTGGCATAACATTGATAGGTGCATTACTCTAACCTGCGTGTAGCTACACCCCTCTCCCTGACAAAGGAGAGGATGAGGCTACATGTAGGCGTCATTTACCCTAGCCTCTCACGCAAACGTTCTTAGGGGTTTGTCACGCGTTCCTGTCCCACAAAAGTGATGTTCGTGAGGCAGGAATGTGTGACGAAACCCTAAGAACACCTGCGTGGCAGGCTACATTTACCCTACTCCCACTGAGTCTGAATAATTGAGGTTTCAACCATAATAACCTAATTAACCTACAAACATCATAATTCCATCTCCTCTCACCTCCACAGAGTGATCAGTCACATGCTAGGTATCCCAATAAAAAATGGCAATAATTTAAAAACAGTAAGCACATGGTAGGCAATGGCAAGAGGGAAAAGGCAGGATCTTTCCCCCTTCCCATCCACTTCCCCCCACCCACTTTCATTTTTCCTCTCTCTAACCTCTCTAAGACACAAAGAGGACTCTGCGGAGGATTGAGTTCTCCCCCCAAAAAAACTCTGAAAATGTTTGACAATAAAACATTTACCTGCTGTCTGCTGTCCTTGTCCACCAAATGTCTGTAAAGAGGAAAAATGAAAATCGCATTAGACATGCCAGGTAGAATTTGTATGATAATATGACAATGAGCTTATTATTTTCTCTCTCTTTTTTGAATTGCACAGACTGGTTGCAAATCTCTTGTGCCAAGATTTTTGGGCCACATACATTGGGACATTTTATGTCAAGCAGATTTCTAGCTATTGTAAAGCAATGAATGGCAAAATGAGTGATTTTAAGAGTTTATTCCTTTCATTGTTATTATGGAATACAGTCAATTGAACAACCAGTAATACACACTGTATGTGCCTTGTAGTAGCTGGTAACCTACCGTTGAGAAGAAAGCAAATGGGAAGGCACCGATGCCAAAGGAAAGCTGAAATCCATCACCAAATCCACCAAATCCAGGAAATCCCTAACAAAAAGGATTCACATCAGTAAGTGTAAATGGGAGGAGAAATTATTACAAAAAAATGAAGAAGGTAAACCTTCATGTAGTACAGTAAAAAACCCCGCATGTAAGAATCTAGTTATCAATGCTGGTCGTATATTAACAGTGGGGGAGGGGGGGGTATTTTCAAAATCTTGATGGGTTGTGTGGGGTTATCTTCAGATAAGGGAGCATTACACTGGGGGTCATTTTAATACATTTCATGAAAGTAATAAAAACTAGTAACAAGTGTGAGGAGGAGGAGGACTGTGCAAAGAACTTTGAGGATTGTGCAAAGATTTGTGAGGACATGACAACATTCTATGAGGATTGGCAAAGATCTGTGATGATTTTGCCAAGATTTGTGACAAATGTGTAAAGATTTGTGAGAATTGTGCAAACATTTCTGTGGATTGTGCAAAGATCTGTGAGGATTGTGCAAAGATTTGTGAGGATTGTGCAAAGATTTGTGAGGATTGCGCAAAGAACTGTGAGGATTGTGCAAAGATCTGTGAGGATTGTGCAAAGATCTGTGAAAATTGTGCCAAGATTTGTAAGGATACGACAAAGTACTATGGGGATTGTGGAAACATCTGTGAGGATTAAGCAAAGATCTGTTAGGATTATGCAAAGATTTGTGAGGATTGTTCAGAGATTTGTGAGGATTGTGCAAAGATCTTTAGCACTGTGCAAAGATTTGTTAGGATTGTGCACAAATTTGTAAGGATTAGGCAAAGATCTGTGAGGATTGTGCAAAGATTTGTGAGGATTGTGCAAAGATTTAAGTGGATAGTGCAAAGATCTGCGAGGATTGTGCAAAGATTTGTGAGAATACAACAAAGTTCTGTGAGGGTTACACAAAGACCTCAATGAAACCCCTGTAAATTACCTTCCTATTGTATTGTAGTATTAACAGTGCTTAAACTTACTCCATTATTTTCTGGTTCAGGTCTTCTTCCTTGTGGTCTTGGGGGCATTTTTTCTCTGAAATAAAGAAGTTGAAACATGAGAGAATCAAAACAAACTGTATTACATCCATTACAAAATGCTAGGCTCTTGCCTAAAATATAAGCTGTAAGGGTTTTTAATAATAAAAAACCCACTCAAGTCACGCATATGACTTTCACGTTCAGGGCATCTGAGGAAGAATAATAATATTATGCAGAAAGATAGAAACAAGGTAGAATAAAAAAATATAACAAGAATGCTCTTAAAAAAGCGTTAAGTCAAGCTTGTTGTGCCTTGGAGATTAGATAACAATATTATTAGGAGGCGATTAATTCTACATGAAACAGAATTCCCTCGCTAAAAGTTTTTCACATCCTTCTTTAACAACAGTCAAGTAATATATCAAACATGAGATGCAGTGTTTCATCACCAGATGAAACACCGAGAAGAGAGTTGAAAATACGACGTGCAGCGGAGTATTTTTGACGAACTTCGAGGTGTTTCATCTGGTGATGAAACACTGTGTCGAATGTTTGATATTTCTTCTCAAACAAAATCATTTTTGAAGGAGAAATTAAGGATGCAAATACTAAGCAGTGTTTCATCCGATTTCCAAACACTCATTAAACATTAATTTCCTTTGTATTTTCTTAATGAATTATTAATGAGTTTGAGAAGTATTCTTCAGGATATTTACTTTTTATATTGTATTCTACGATTTGTTTCTGGATTGATTGAATATGCGTGTATAAATAAATGAAAATCAAGGGCTTCGATTTGAGAGAAGTTACATCATTCCCAAAAAGCAAAAATGCCATGAGCATGGCGCGTCATTTCAACCATCGCCAAAAAAAAGAAACCCGCATCCTCATCACATTTGGAAAAAAGAAAGTTTAAAACACCGACCAGTTAGCCTCACCATTTTGCTGAAGTTTTGAAGATTCTTTGTTTTTTTACCACCGAAGTATTCACTTGTTCCAAAGTAATCAATACTTTTAAGCGATAGAATTCATGGACCAGTACTCGGGGTACCCAGTACTGCTATACTGTAAGAAAACTTGGAAAATACTGAAATATGGTGTGGAAAATCAAGAAAATACTGATACCGCATCTATGGTCGGTCACGCTTATGTAAAGTTGTATTCATTTAGCATGTTTATTTATCTCAAGTATGTACTGCACCAGAAATCAACCTCAGCCACTGCGACAAAATGTGAAAATACCTTGAATTTATCAGTACACAGATAAAGAAGCCGGGTCATTGGATGCAACAACAATCCCATTGTAGATTAACTGTCAAAATTGTGTGATCATTCACCATTTACGTCTAAAAACTTAAAAGTACATCAACTTTTATTGACCTGTACAGCTACCTTTGTTTTGTGTTGCATATTGTTTTGACCTGTATTAGATAGGAGAGCATAGATGAATGGTACCGCAATACCCCAAAGGATCTTTAGTCCTTTTACTGAACCCCATCAGCCAGAAGGATGAAAAACCGCATACCCCAGGGCTAGACGATAGTGTAATACAGCACATAAACATTTAAATTACTGAAATACTGCTTGAAAAAAGGGTCAAAACTGCAGTACCGTAAATCCCAATGTCCAACTCCCTGGAAAGTCAGTGACCCTGATGTGTCTATAGTATAGTACAGGCAGTATCATTACCTTGGATCCTCTTGATTGGTACTGCCTCTTCCGTAAAGTGGAATTACTTTATCTTTACTGATACCCGCCTTGCAAACTGGACACACGGATTTGTTGGGTCGAGTTTCTAACCACTAAAATGGTGACAAAAAATCAAATTTTAGTGGATACACAAGTAATTGCCTGACTCATGCTTCATTTTGAGAATGTGTTGATCTCATTTTTTCTCCATGCTGAGTAACAAAAAGTAGATGTACATGCAGGCCTGTCATTAAGTTTCCAAGATGTTGTAACAAATGAAGATTCACCAGTAACATCTCACAAAACTTTATAGTGCCACCTTTAGCTTGCCACTATGATCACCTGTAACATCAAGTGAGCTCAGAGGTGTTAAAGGTTACGGCCCTTAACCCTTTGATCAAAATTTGAATTCTCATTTGTTTCCTCTATTCATTTCCTATAGAAGTAATGGGAGAAGTTGATAAAATATCAAACAAATTCATCTTGTGTGATCATGTCCATAATTCTCATGACCACTCTGTTTTACAAGGCATTGATATTACAAGGAGAAATTTGACAGGGCTTCTGATATTTCGCGGAAAAAAAGCAAAATTTCGCTGGATTTTCAGGGGCAAATTCGCAGAAAAATCGGCCGATTTTGTGGGATTTTCGCGAATAAAAAGTCAAAATTCGTGGAAAAATCGGACAATTTTGCGAGATTTTTGTGGGAGAAAAGTCAAAATTCGCAGAAAAATCAGCCAATTTTGCAGGATTTTAGCAGAAAAAAGTCAAATTTCAAAGGATTTTCGGGGCAAATTCTTAGAAAAATCGGCCGATTTCATGGATTTTCATGGGAAGTTTGTGGGGGGGGAATTTAGTCAAGAAACAATCAGTAAAAAACAGCCGATTTTGCTGGATTTTTTTTGGCAAATTTCGCTAAAATCGATCAATTTTGCGTCGATATGACCAGCGTTGTTTAACGTTTTTTTAACAGGGATAATCATTTGCTCTTTCAACAACAGTTCACTCGAGAAATGAGCGAATGCTAAAGCTATTAACATTATGGTAAGTGCCCAGTTTTTCGCAACGTTCATCTAAAAAACGCCAGGTAGTTTTGGGACGTTGTTTACTCATTACAGTGACGAAAGTTTCAAGATAAATTTGGACGTTTGGGGAGAATAAAACAGGTCTAATAGCCAAGATAAGTATTAAATATGTTTTGCCGACATGTATTTGGAAATATTTCTGGCGGATTTCGCGTTTTTTTGAGAATTTCGCGGGATTTCGCGGAAAAACCTGAATTTCACTGGTCCGCGACTGCGCGAAATATCAGAAGCCCTGATTTGATGCTGATCACTCTTAGGGCTTAAAGGGTTAATGACAGCTCTGTTTAGTACTATGATGGAAGCTAATAAGCTCTCCTATTTTTATCAACACAAACTGTCTGGTTGAAAATATGCTTAACCATTCAACGATTACATTAATTTTGACCTTGTTGCACATGCACTTACTACAATGAATGATAGAAAATGAGAGGAAAATTTCGGATCAATTTAGGTTTCTGGGAAACTGCCGACCTACCCCTCCCCTAAGCTAACATTTTAGATAAGACATAAGTGTTGAGGTTAGCTTAAGGAAGGAGTGGGTGGGCAGTTTCCCAGAAACCTAAATTCATCCAAAATTTCATCACCTCAAACAACAGCCTATACTTTCTGAACTTGACCAAAAAAAGGTAGGAACAAGTTGATTTTCATTTCAGATAATTAATGGTAATCAACCCTGACCCAATTTTATGTAATATAAGTGCCTCAATCCATCCATATTGAGAGTATGTAAAGAGGATTTTTTAACTGACACTGAAGAGTCTGCAAATTGTATGTGAAACACTTGTGTGAGTGTCTATGCACTATGGTTCAGTTTTATCCTCATCATTCACTGTTATACCCAATACCCTGTAACCAGAGGCTACATTTTAGGGAGCATTCATAATTTACCTAGAGGGTGGGCTATGATGATTTTGAAGGGGGGGTCACTCTTTTTCCCTACTATGATTTAGGGGGGGCTGTGGAAAATTTCCAACGAAAATTACATCTGCAGCGGAGTATTTTTGACGAACTTCGAGGTGTTTCATCTGGTGATGAAACACTGTGTCGAATGTTTGATATTTCTTCTCAAACAAAATCATTTTTGAAGGAGAAATTAAGGATGCACATACTAAGCAGTGTTTCATCCGATTTCCAAACACTCATTAAACATTAATTTCCTTTGTATTTTCTTAATGAATTATTAATGAGTTTGAGAAGTATTCTTCAGGATATTTACTTTTTATATTGTATTCTACGATTTGTTTCTGAATTGATTGAATATGCGTGTATAAATAAATGAAAATCAAGGGCTTCGATTTGAGAGAAGTTACATCATTCCCAAAAAGCAAAAATGCCATGAGCATGGCGCGTCATTTCAACCATCGCCAAAAAAAAGAAACCCGCATCCTCATCACATTTGGAAAAAAGAAAGTTTAAAACACCGACCAGTTAGCCTCACCATTTTGCTGAAGTTTTGAAGATTCTTTGTTTTTTTACCACCGAAGTATTCACTTGTTCCAAAGTAATCAATACTTTTAAGCGACAGAATTCATGGACCAGTACTCGGGGTACCCAGTACTGCTATACTGTAAGAAAACTTGGAAAATACTGAAATATGGTGTGGAAAATCAAGAAAATACTGATACCGCATCTATGGTCGGTCACGCTTATGTAAAGTTGTATTCATTTAGCATGTTTATTTATCTCAAGTATGTACTGCACCAGAAATCAACCTCAGCCACTGCGACAAAACGTGAAAATACCTTGAATTTATCAGTACACAGATAAAGAAGCCGGGTCATTGGATGCAACAACAATCCCATTGTAGATTAACTGTCAAAATTGTGTGATCATTCACCATTTACGTCTAAAAACTTAAAAGTACATCAACTTTTATTGACCTGTACAGCTACCTTTGTTTTGTGTTGCATATTGTTTTGACCTGTATTAGATAGGAGAGCATAGATGAATGGTACCGCAATACCCCAAAGGATCTTTAGTCCTTTTACTGAACCCCATCAGCCAGAAGGATGAAAAACCGCATACCCCAGGGCTAGACGATAGTGTAATACAGCACATAAACATTTAAATTACTGAAATACTGCTTGAAAAAAGGGTCAAAACTGCAGTACCGTAAATCCCAATGTCCAACTCCCTGGAAAGTCAGTGACCCTGATGTGTCTATAGTACAGGCAGTATCATTACCTTGGATCCTCTTGATTGGTACTGCCTCTTCCGTAAAGTGGAATTACTTTATCTTTACTGATACCCGCCTTGCAAACTGGACACACGGATTTGTTGGGTCGAGTTTCTAACCACTAAAATGGTGACAAAAAATCAAATTTTAGTGGATACACAAGTAATTGCCTGACTCATGCTTCATTTTGAGAATGTGTTGATCTCATTTTTTCTCCATGCTGAGTAACAAAAAGTAGATGTACATGCAGGCCTGTCATTAAGTTTCCAAGATGTTGTAGCAAATGAAAATTCACCAGTAACATCTCACAAAACTTTATAGTGCCACCTTTAGCTTGCCACTATGATCACCTGTAACATCAAGTGAGCTCAGAGGTGTTAAAGGTTACGGCCCTTAACCCTTTGATCAAAATTTGAATTCTCATTTGTTTCCTCTATTCATTTCCTATAGAAGTAATGGGAGAAGTTGATAAAATATCAAACAAATTCATCTTGTGTGATCATGTCCATAATTCTCATGACCACTCTGTTTTACAAGGCATTGATATTACAAGGAGAAATTTGACAGGGCTTCTGATATTTCGCGGAAAAAAAGCAAAATTTCGCNACCATTTCATTAGTGCAAGTTGTTACTGATTTACTATGTTAATTACCGTATTTATTCGAATAAGCGCCCAACCTCGAATTAGCGCCCACCTCGAATAAGCGCCCATCCTAAAGGCAGAAAAATTTAATAAGCGCCCAGCCTCGAATAGGCGCCCACCCCACCCCACCCCCTCCCACAAAAACTCCAATAAGATATAATAAGAGACCCTCCCGAAGACGGAGTTTTCTTCAGGGTAGTATTGTACAGAAACCTTGCTTTGTTACATCTTCGCTTTTTGTTATTAGCATCTACTGTTTTGTTGCAAAATATACTACTACACTTGCTGAGAATGGTGAAAATTTAATACGCGCCCAGCCTCGAATAAGCGCCCACCTCGAATAAGCGCCCACTCTCAAGGTCCAAAAATTTAATAAGCGCCCAGGGCGGTTAATCGAATAAATACGGTACTAATAAAGCTCAATATACCTGTCATAATACTTTGATATGGCTATTAAAGGGTGAGTTTGACCTGTTGTACTTATGTGCTGGGGGAAGGAGGGGGGGCTATGATATTTTCCTTTGATAAATCAACATCTCTTGAGGGGGGTCAGAAAAAACCCCCTGAGATGATCAGGGGGGGCTTCAAAAAAATGAAAGGAAAAAATAAGGAAATCATCATAGCCCACCCTCTAGATAAATTATGAATGCTCCCTTAGCTGTGTGAGCTGTCATGCAAAAAGCAGCCTGTGCCGACAACTGTTCAAATCCTTCCAGAAATCTGGACAAATAAATTAAAAAACAGGTTATTTCCTGCTCTTGACCGCTTTAGAGCCTTGCGTGAGTCTTGTGTGGCAGGTCAGAGTTGTCGCAATTTTTTTATCCCCATGAAACTCGCGCCATTTGATGACAGACCTGAAGATTAATTTTCTCACGAGATGAAGTTTCATGCATGCATGACAGAAAATTGAACCGTTGTCCGCAGAGGCTACTTTTTGCACGTCAGCTCACACAGTGAAAATATAGCCTCTGCTCACAGGGTAGACCTGCAGTACAAAAGAGGAAGTAGACCCTTATGGGGGTAATTACAGTGTATATGGTGTAGTTAATTTTTTTTATCTCAGTTAGTTTTTATTTTTCCATTGTCTTTGGGTATCTTAATGTCTGCTAATGAATTTGAAACAAAGGAAAAACAAAAATTAACTGAAATAAAAAATTAACCGCAACATACACTTGGGGGTCTCCTTTTAGTTACACAGGATTTTTTTGGTTTCTCATTTTGGCCTCATCCGTGACTTCAACATTGAGCATCATATTTAATTAGCCTAAGAACCCTCCATCCTAGCAACCACATTGATTAACATGTACGAACTTGACGAAGTGTATACAAGAAAATTAGAGAGTGAAAAACTATTATAATTTGTCACCCAAGGGAATTTATGTTAATCCCATGTATCTCAGTTTATAAAATAAGAAAAGAGCTTAAAACCTGACCTAGCTGCCACAATTTTGAAGATCGACTATGCAGAACTATAGGTTGCGTGCGTTAATACATGGAAATGAAATTAGAGATCTGTATTAAAAAATTAAGTCTAATATGAGTTACATAAATGCTCTGTGAAGTTTTCAGCTCAAAAAAGAGTTACATAAAGCATAAGGTAAGCTAACTAACCTTATGAAGACATGGCCAGCTGAAAAGGAAAGAAATAAAGTATTTTACTATAGAATCGCTTGAGTGAGAGTTCCATAAATTCATGTTTCATCGGAAAGCTGTACAAGCTAAACGAAGACTTAAAGTTCTCACCAAAATAAGTGCCCACAAAAACTGATAACCGCATCTTTGGCAGTATCTAAACAAATATTGCATTCAAAGTTGGCGTTCGCACTTGATTGATCGCCATTAGATGCTCCAGAGGCCGAGCTGGGATCGTTTGTTGAAGGGATGTCACCTCCGTAGGTCGCCATCTTGTTTTCTGTTGCAATGTTGATTCGCCGAACCGATACGTCATCGTAAGAAAACTGGGAACTAGCGCGAGGTTGAATGACAGTGAGAAGGAACGATCCTGGTACAGCTTTATTCGGCCGCCATCATGGTAAGTATAAAGAAATATTTTCACTCGATTCTTTCCGTTTCTGGGCGTCTTTTGCATGACTTAAAGCTCATTCTTGGATAGAATAATGTTTCCTTTAATACACTTTGCTGATCTATGTTACAATGTCTCGAATTTGTAGGAGATATTTGTGATGGTGCGTCGTGATAAAACGACCATTTTCCTTGATTGCAAGGAAGCCACCACGGTTTACGAGCTGAAGAAAATGGTGGAGGGAATTATGAAGAAAGCTCCTGATGATCAAAGGCTTTACAAAGATGATCAAATTCTCGATGATGCAAAAACGTTGGAGGATTGTGGCTTTACCACTCAAACAGCAAAAGCTCAATCTCCTGCTTTGATCAAATTGTCTTTCAGGGGAGAAGGTGAGTTTTTTTTATAGCGTTTATACGTGTGCTCAAATCTTAATTACCTCAATATTCACGGATGGTTTGAATGATTTATACGTAATTATTGTGATCTTCTGTGATCTTTTCACGCTGTGCCTCGCTTAATAATTCAGAGATTCGTGAGTTACAAATTAAGCAAACATGACCCGTGTACTTTCTTGACGGAATGTTTGAAATGTCAAGACATCAAGTTTAACGTGGTACTTAAATATTTAATCTGTTTAAACTACTCGAATTTCGGCATGCTACTGTTTGTTTTCCATACTTGTAAATTTGTAAATCACTTATTGTCTTGATTTAAACCAACTGTTTCATTCTTTGATTTAAAAGTTGTTACTTGAGTAGGTAGAAATAATATGATACCATGTGCTTAAAAGAGACAAAGGACACTTCATGACGTTTCTAGTTTCCAAGAATAAGTTGTGTCACTTCTACGACAATGATGATGTTTTTCTCTCTATTTTTTCAATCTGCATGAACCAAAGAAATCTTGTACAAAATAATTGTCTTCAAAAATGTACTTCTTATATTTTCACAGTGCCCAATTGAAATATTGCTAACCTTTTAAATGTCAAATCAGTTGATGACAGGCTGAAATTGAGTGTTTCTTGGAAGAGATTTTAAAACAGACTCTTGAATTAATTTAGCACTCTGATATAAACAAATAACAAGATTGAATAGAGTTAAAGTTTGAAATTTTATCCACAATATTTTGTAGTAATATTAAGTTATGATGTTATGCAAATGTCTAGACTTGCTACTTATTTCTCCCATACTTGTTACATTTCTGGGCATCAGATTGTTGTGTTAAGTTTATCTTAGCAATTTCAGGTGCTCAGCAAAGTCAGGTTGAAGTAGTTTCCATCGTAATTTGGGCTTATAATGAGCTCAGTTTCTTCCCTTTGAGTGCCTAGACTGACCAACATCAACAACATCAACTAACAATATGAGTTCATCATCAAGAGAAAACCCTATAAGAATTAACAAAATGTTCACCAACGAGAAAATGCTGTGATCTTTTAGCAAATTCTCTCGACTAGTTCTTTAAGGAAATGTATGGAGATCAGTCTGGAGAATTTGTATGTGGATATTGGGGCTTTTAAGGGTTGAGTATGAATAAATGAGGAACTGTTTTCAGAATTAACCATGTACAGTGTTACTGTTATAAGTATGTTTAACCAATTTGCAGTGTATTATAACTATTGTCAATTTTCGAACTAACTCAAAGAACTGTAAAATGCGGGAAGTATAATAATATTTCTGCTTGTTAGTCACAACTGATTTCTTATCAGCTGATTTTGAAATTTGTGTGTCCGTGCCAATGATGAGGCCCTCTTAGCTGTAGGGGGTTACATATGTCTCTAGTCTGAATTTCAAACCCTCTTGTGTCGCGTATTGAGGAGGAAGCTATGTTGCTGTTGGTATTTTACTATTGTATTTGCACTTTTCTCTGTAACTGTGTCTCTGTGTGACGTGGCATTCGGCTGGCGCAAAACTCTTAAGTGGGTTAAAAACGATACTGATTTTTTGAGATTTTGTTATCTAAACATTCCTTGTCTCTGAACAAACATTACTTTAATCTTCATGAGTTGATCAAGTGATGGATTCGCACATTTGTAGGAAAACTCAAAAACAGATGTTTCTGTTGGTTTGCAGTGGCTATATTTGTGCCCCTCAAAGAGACACCAACATGGCGCCTCCATACAAAACTTTATAACTATGGGTAACACGTTTTTCTGAATATGTCGCATATGAAATGTCGCACAAACCTGATTCTTAGCTAGGCTTTTTGTATCTATATCTTTTTCCATTTCCTAGATTCTGGACTTTCTGTACTGAATGGTTTGCATTTTTATCTTTGATGGCGTGACAGTGAAAACAGAGAATAGTTTTGGCAACACCAAGATGGCACTTATAATGACAAGAATTGTCCAAAATCGCAAAAATTAATGTAGTGCACACTTTTATTTTTGTCGTAGATGGAGAATTTGAACCAGTAGTCATTGCTGACCTGTCCACCCCACCAGAATTGCCAGATGTGATGAAGCCCCAGGAAAGTGTGTCCAACAGTGACGGCTCGTAGAAGTTTAATAAAGTATTTGTCACACCATCATGTTTGTAGGGAACCAGATTTCACAACAGCTTGAGGTGCTGTGTTATAGTAGTATAAAGACAGATTGCAATTGTCTTGTGTGACCAAACAATAATACAATATTATTATTCTTTTATTTATCTTTGCAGTTTACAATATTGATTTAATGGCTGGAAAGTAAAACGTTTCTTGACGTTAACTTTGAAAAATTTACTTGCCATAATTATTATTGAGTCAAATTTGGCCATGCACTAAAAGAAAAGAAACTGCATCTGCTGTTTTTAGTTTAGCCCTTGAAAAATTGTTTGTACTTTTTCACCAAAAAGCTTTGTTATAAACCATTGTAAGTCTGTCATGATGAAAGCAAAATTCTTAGAATTGTTTCATGCCACAACTTGTTTGCTAGGCAACACTTTAATCTAATAGTCTTAAACAAGATACTCTTTGATGGATAACACTTCTCTTTTCCAGGAATATCGATATAAGAACATCAGTACCACACAGTTTTTACAAAAGAAATATGAAACAGACCTTTGTGGGATTAGTTAAGTGATACATGTAGGCTGTTATGTGGGCCTGAAAGTTTTTTCTTCTGTTCGGTTATTGTTTTCTGTTAGAGATTATAAAACACAGTGAAGGGAAAAGTCAACCTTCAAAATCCTATATTAGTCAATAAAAATAAATCTATGAAAACATTTTTCAAGACGTAAAGAAGTGAATGGTTAATTTTAAAGATTTTTTGTACTAGTAAACCTAATTTTCTTTTGGTTGTAAATAAATCCATTTCTTTAGACACATTGCCTCTTTTTTCATGTGGTTTGCTTTTACAACCAGGAAAACTGTGAACACTTGAAGCATTTCAGGAATGTTATTGTCTCGCAAGAGAAAAGCCAACCTCCCTCTATTTGACTTTCTATAAGAAAGACATCTCTCTAAGATGGACAGCTAGTGCCGGTCCCAAAGGTGTCCGTCTTAGGGAGAGTTGACTGTATCATGAGAGATGTGCAAATGGCGAATTCAAGAACTTTTCAAGACTGTGCAATCCCTGTAGAAGTTTTTAATTCCTGTTCTCAATAGAAAGTAATCCCACTACAAATTCTTGTAAGCAGCACTCTGTTTGGTGGCCAAAATGCTAGCCTGAATGCAGACATCTCCTATATCCTTTGTAGGTCTAGGAAAGCTGTCCGTCTCTCTTGAGCAACAAAGGAAATAGAAGACATCTGGACCAAAGCTACATGACGCTTGAAATTACACTTCTGGGCCCACTTGTTCGAAAGCCGATTAGCGCATAATCGGGGTTTCTTTGTCTTTTGTTCAAAAGCATTTTCTCAGATAATTTTCACCATTCTCTTTAGAGCATCCTACCACCCAATAATAATACTGTAGACAAAAAGAATTAGACTAAATTTACTCTTATAGAGTTCATTTCGGAGTTTTATTTTCACACTGCCGCTGGGCTATTTTAACCCAGCTTTGAACAACTCGGCCCTTGACTTCAAGATTTCAAACAAATGATTTCTTGGGTACGGGTTTGCATACGGACATTATCAAGAGAAGTGTACCTTTTTGCTGATATCAAGGCCCTTTATGTGGTGCTTATTTCAAGATCACACATAGAACATTACTGGGAGAACCCTTTCAGTTTTAATGGGTCGTAAGCCTGAGGTAACAAGCACAATAACTATTTTTGTCAGAGTGGAAGCTGTAAAGTTTGTAGTGAAGGATAATCCTTCCAATCTGATGTACTTGACCTTGAAAAGGTATGAATTTGTTATTCCCGCCTGTCAACCTGATCGACTTTTCAGTTTGACATGTTGCAGATATCAAAATTCTCACTCTAGTCCTTCTGTTTAGCACTTTGACAGCAGTTCTGCATAAGCTGAACTCAAGTATACATATAATATTTTTGCCACAGGCATGTCACTTTGGCTTTTTTAGCACTTACGGGATCCGAAAAAGATTAATATTTCTTGCAAACAAGAAGCTATAACCAACTATTAAACAGAACTGGCCACGCCCATGACCATTATTAACTGAAATTTGTGTTTTAATAAAAGATTTTGCAGCTAGCAACATTTTTCCCTACAACAGTAGATTACTTTAAGTAATAAAAAATTGTGTAAATATAAATAGAAGGACAGTCAATGGTTTTAAAGCAACTGATAATTTAACACTGCTAAATATACAGTAACATAGCGATGCACTTAAGATTGTCATATGACAAAGAGCAATTAACAGTAGCCACTACAAGGTAGGAAAACTACATTTTGAATAAATTACTGGCTAACATTTGCTTATAATTTAATGAGATCAGTTGTAAAGTCGTGTTGAGGAATGTCAGGAAGAGTGTATTGAGGATATTTATCTTTGTGGACATACAAGGCAGTGCGCTGTGTAATTACCATAGATATATTTTATAAAAGGACCCTACTAGGATCACCCTAGGGTGGTAAGCATGGACTAGAAGTCCTGCCATCAAAACAGACTCTATCATTAATTGCATCAATTAAGAGCCAAAATTTAATAGGCCACTTTCAAATTTTCAAACATTATTCATACTTGGCACCAAAGCTGAGTGGTACACAACAAAAGAGAATGCATTAAGATTCAGTGATAAATCATTTTGTTTGTTTTATTTCCCTCAGCCCTCACAGCTTGGCCTATTTAACTTGAAAATGAGTTACCAAAATTTATAAGACAAGTAATATTTTAGGTTTCTCTGTCTCAGGATCCTGAGACAAAATGACGGGTAACTAACTCAAGGATCAAAATTCACTGAGGGTGCTTTCCATTTGTCAGAGCTGACCGGTCAGCCCATTCCCATCATAATGAGAATTTCACTTTTAACCAAAACTAACCATCCACATCAGTCAAATCCTAAATATTATGCACAAAGGAGATGGGTTTTCCACAAAACCTCTTGGAAAAGGCCTATTTCATTGGCACAATGTCTGGTCTAGCAGGCCAGTTCTGAATTTTGGAAAGCACTATAAGTATTAAAATTTCAAAGGTCACAATAAAATTACATGCTACACAAACATGTTGGGCAACAAAGATGATTGTTTAATCAGCTGAGACCTGTTGAATGTATCTTATTAAAGGAATTATTGTATCTGTTGTAGTTAATTTTTTATCTCAGGTAATTTTTATTTTTCTTTTGTTTTTGGGTATGATAATGTATGCTAATGAAGTTTAAACAAAAGAAAAATAAAAATTACCTGAGATAAAAAATTAACTACAACATATCTATGACAAGGGCCATAATAGTGACAAAGTCTGTTGCTTCTCACAACAAGACTTTAGAAGTAAAATGGAAAACTACCTAAAATGATCTTTCTAAACAAATTCACAGTACGTGAAGCTTACTTTGTAAGGACGTAAATTTAAGTTAATGGTGGCACAGCCACTGTGATATGTTTTTTGAATCTGGTGTGAAACTTGGCTTTCACGTATTGTTTACAGTTTGCTACCATGGATGCCAGAGGTCTTCTCTCTCACCAATGGCAAGAGGTGTAAACAATGAAGTACTTCACAGCTCACTTTTGTGGTTTCGCTGTTCAATATTGTCACCCCAAAAGACAAAAAAACCTCTAGCGCCTAGGGTAACAGTTTGCACACTGTGACAAAAACAAAAATAATACTGTCATAGCATTATATGATGCAAATGCAAACAATAGCCACCGTAAAGTGACAAAAATGTATGTTAACGTATTTTCAAATAATTTAACCCTACCACTAATATATGATTAACAGTTAAAGAGGTACGTAGTTTAATAACTTAATTATTATTAACAATGCTTGATGATGAAACATTATAAAATGGGTGAAGACACAAGGTTGTCATTAAAATTTCAAGTTGCCGCGCTAATGATTCCAGTAGATGGGGAATCCAACAACTAGGGATTTGTTTGGTTCTATTTTTCTTCTATTTTCCTACAAAAGTAGGTGAGGGTCAGGTCCATAATAGGCGGGGAAAATTCCCGAGCCCTGGGCCTTAATGACAGCCCTAAGACAGCTTCTTTAGTGCCCCAAACAGTAAAAAAGAAAACACAATGATTCTTTCAGGAGAACAGCTGTCACTGTTCTTAAAATGTGAACGATGAAGGCGAGATTACCCTAAACTGGAGAGACTCTAGACTCTATTAGACTGGCATACACTGTATTTACCGACTGCAATGGTTAACTCTTAAGTTGTGGTGTTCCAAAAAATATCCTTCCCTCAACTGTGGCGAGTTTTAGATTTGAGCTCCCCCCTCCCCCCAACCCTGCCCAACTGGAAAAAATATTACAGTTTATGTTCACACTTGCTTTTAAAATATTTTGGCCTTTAACACCCCCCTCCTCCCATTGGAATTTCCAATAACACCCAATGGGGTGCGTATGGATATTTTTTGGAACAACATGCAGGCATATGAAAAGTAAAACTGGCATAGAGGTTTCATTTGAATTGCGATACTAAAGGATTTTGTTCACAGAATACAAAGGACTGCAACAACATCTCATCACGACTCACTATAAAGTACTAAAAGAGTCAATCCTCAGCCCATGTCCTGCCGTGTGATTTGAAGGAATAATAAACTGGTACATAATCAGTTTTCATCCCAAGGCAGTAACATCCCAGGTAGGGGGTATAATATATGAGGTTTGAAGCCATAACAGGGGAGGGAGAAACAGACTTCAGAGGAAATAATCTGGCTGAGGCTTCTTGGCGATAGTCGGCAATCCTCTCACCTCCTGTACAAGAAATCAGATATTGATTACATGCAAATAAAAGTCAGAGCTCAAGCCAAACTAAAGGAAAATCAATATTAATACTAGAGTTACAAAAACTACCAGTGAGAGCAACAATTTGCACTACTATAAATACAAAATGCCTACAAAATGAATGACTTCAGCTTCCGACCCCAGTCAGGTGGGGTGGGGTACTACCATAATGATTACATGTATGTGAGCATTATGGGAATGTGTCACTGTGAGGGGTAGGATCTCCAGGAAGCAGTTTAGTCTGGAACAGGGTGTACAAACCAAAGAATTTTGATCTAGAATAGGGTATCACTTATAGAAAATTGGGATCAATTTAGGTTTCTTGGAAACTGCCCACCTACCCCTCCCCTAAGTCATTATTTTGCCCAAAGTGAAAAGTAAGTGTTAATGTCAGCTTAGGGGAGGGGTAGGTGGGCAGTTTCCTAGAAACCTAAAATTGATCAGTGATATTGAGAATATAAAGGTTCTCAGTCTAGGATAGTGTAGGAATTGTTGGAACTAAACATGGTCTGGTTGACCCCCCTACCCTGCAAGCACAGCCTCCTTTTGACCTCTTAAGTGAGGAAGAGAAAAGGAGGATCTCCCTGAATTGTGTCAAGCCTTTGAAGTCGCTGACACCTGAACTTCTGCACAAGTCGACCTTGTTATCTGGTCAAAGTGATTTTCCGAGAGTGAGCATTCTTTAATGATAATCAATCACAAATCAGGGCTCAAAGTTAGCGACTAACTGGTCACATATGCGACTGGATTTTTGGTTGTGCGCCTAAAAATTCATGTGTAATCGCACCTGTGCACCGTAAAACCCAAAGCACAGTGCGACTGACTTACATCCGGCTATACTTACGAACTCGAACTGATACATGCAAATATATGCTACGAAAAAAACCTGTACTTTTTGCGCAGTGGACGATCATGTCGAACTTTCAGTTTTAACATCAATCAAAACAAAAACAGTGGATTCTACAAACTCGAATGTTCTTTTTCATTTCAATGTTTTACTCCATCCCAGACTCTTCTGTTTTGTAACAAACACCGCTGATACATGGAAATATATGCTACGAACGAAACACACACTTTTTGCGTAATGGACGATCATGTCGAACGTTCAAATTTAATGTCAATCAAAACAAAAACAGTGCGGATTAAGAGCCTTTTTTTCCAGGTAAGAAAGTTTTTAAAGTCGTATTCCAGTTACATGTAAGTCAGTGCGCATTTAACGAATTCATTAAAGATTAATTTTCATTCTCGTTTGACACACTCATTGTTGTCAGTTTTGAATTGTTTTTCAAGTGTAAGTTTTCTTTAGTCACAACTGTACTGTCAAAAAGAGAAATTAGTATTAAATATCACAACGGTATTACTGCATAGCAAATCGGCTGTGTTTTATCAATGACAGGACTGAAGTAAAAGTAACAAACTGAAGATGACAAATAAACGTGGCACTTTTAAGCTTTTTACTTATTCTTTTGAAATAGATGCTCCCAACATTATAAGCTGTGCTCCTAAAATGTTCAGCTGTGCGCCTAAAATTTTGGCAGTGCGCCTAAAAATTTACATCTGGTAGCACAAGTGCTCCCAAACTCAAATTTAAACTTTGAGCCCTGCAAATTACAATTTATCTTTATTGGTGCCCTTGGCACATTCAGAAGAGTAAAGAAAAGGTTGACACTAGGTGGAAAAAAGGGGTGTTTCTTGGTGTTGCGGAAAATATTGTTGGTTCGCTTTTATGTTGTGTTGAGGGTATTGTTCATTGTCTTTTCAATCTTTTGTACTATGACATTTGGTGATTGCACCCGTCTGCATCACCAAGAAAATACCGAAAAAAGAGAGCCCAGCCACTTAGAATAGCAAATACTAGTCAATTGTCATAACCCCACTGTACCAAGCACCTGGGTTCAAAACTGTATCCTAGCAACAAGCAACACATTCTCAACAAAGACCCTACTTGATTCATGCACAGTCTTTCTTGAGTACACCAAATTCAAGCAAGTGACAGAAAGGTTCTGCTGGAAGGGAGCACACGCCCACCCAAAAATTGGTAGGGTACCTTCTGAGAGGACTTAACTCAGCTGCAAACCAAGTCATCTATATTTTAAACGGTTAGTTATACTGTAGAAAGCGCCTTTTAAGTAATGTCATATTAAAGTAACTCATAACAATTAAAAAAAAATAGCCTTACAAAGTGAATGTCATATCAAATAAACCCACCTGAGGTGCTGCTTCAAATATTGTAAATTCTCTTTTTAAATGTTCATCCAGTTCTAATATTGCGGCAACATTCCCACATCTAAAGCAACCAAAATAAAGTACATCATCAGTATCAATGCTGATTAAGACAGATGCCAAAAGAAACGCATCTTTTTAAGAAAAACATAAGGTTCATTCCTGTTTTATTAAGTAACATTAAGCGTGGGCTGAAAAGAGCCTAAGGTAAATTATGATTAACTGCCAGAGTCTCCTTCCAAGTATCCTTTCACTCTCCGTCACCACGTTCATCCAGATAAAAAACAGTTTCCTTCTCATTCAAAGATGACTAAAGAACACACAATACCATGTTTAGTCAAATAAGCACTGCCGCCAATCAAGTGCTGTATTTGGGAGAAGAAAGTTACTTAGTGCAGCCCCAGAATTAGTGCTATGGCCCAATAATCAAAATCAAAAGATGTTAATTCTGTTAATTTAATATGGAAAATAATAATACCATAATTAAGACAATTTTCAAATGAATGCCACCCTCAAGTAAGTGCTGCATTTGAGGCATGAAAAATTTAATAAGTGCTGCAGTGTTTATTCAAGTAAAATATGGTAAAGACAACAGAAGATTCCAGCTGTACTCTCGTCACCAGTCAATTTGACTAATACATTACATCTCACTAAAAGGTTTTCTGTAAAGGAGCGTAAATGTTTTTCTTTTGGCCTCAAAATCTGAATTACTTTCAAGCAAGGCATTCAAGAATTTCTGATTGCCACGCATACATTACCTGTAGCAATAATTAGGAGCTGACCAAACAGTAAGAACTGTCTCATTAAAATGCCACTTGTATCCCTCCATAACCAACTGATGAGCACGGCAGATCAGGTCAATGTCATTTGCAGCATTGAACTACGAAAAAAGAATTATTATAATGGTATGTAGAAATACAATATTACCTTTGTGAACACAATCATAGTCAATAATTTTCCTATCCTCAACAAATGCAATGGAAAATTAAACTACTTAATTTATGAAATGTCATTAATAAAGAAGAAGACTAGCGGGAACAAACAATCAGAGCCCATCTGTGCATAACTAGTCGTACTTACCAAGCAAGCACACTAACAATGCTTAATGCTCAATGCTTATTTAATTTTGTCATTTCACACTGTATTATATTGAGTTAGTTTGAATTTTTTTTTTGTTTGACATTGAAAGGTCAAGTTTAACCCTTTTACTTGCTATGAAATGCACATCCACCTTCACTGGCCTCACTAACCAAAACATCAATTTCTTCACTTAAATAAATTGTTTTCATTTTCTTCACCTCCTAAAGGAATCAAACATCCCATCACTGTACCCTACCATGTTGATGAGTGTAAACGTAAAAAATTCAAAAAACAACTGACCAAGTAGCCTGATGCAACGCTAAAAAATCCCAAGGGCCCTCTTCTGATTGTTAGACCACATAATACTGGTTATTGTCTTTAAAAACAGACCAATAAAACCTTTAAAATGAAATGCTTTGTTTTGGGCCTGCGGGCAGGTGTGGCCATGCTACTCCAGTGGCTAACAAGCTATATTAATAATTCATTTGATTCAATGGAATCATATTTATCTACACAAAAGATTGATTAACAAACACGATTCCTGATACCTGAGTTACAACATCGCTGCCAAATAAATATCCTGCTCCTCTTGGACTCACTCCCCAACCTTGTGTATCTAAAATTACAAGCAAATACAATGTTCTGGTTGGAAGCATCCTTTTTAAGTAGCTCCCGATCTCATGTCAAATTCTCCTTTTGCTTCAAAGTCACAGAAAGACATAAGAAAAAGAGCTTCTTAAAGTTTATCAGAAGTCACTTGGGGCTTTTGTTGACGGGCAAGTGATGTCTTTTGAGGAATTCCAATGACAAAAGAACTGTGAAATCAATTCTGCTGGTCAAAACGTTTTTGGGGCTTGTTGAAATGACGTCTGGGCTAGTAAATGCTAGCTTCAACTTGCCCGAATGGCAAGCTGTAAAAATGATTTTCTTTGCACACTGTAGAATAATTAAATAAGAGAGGGGGTGTCATGATAGGTAAAAGCATGCAATGAACTCAATATACTTAAGCACCTATCAATCTCTTAGCTCAGGTAAGGGAGGGTGGGCATACCTAGGGGGATTCGAGGCTGTACTATAAGAAAAACTAAAGCAAGCCCAGTGCTCTAAACCTGTTAAATCTACGGGTGCCCAGATTGAAGTTGAAGTTTATTGAAGTTCATAAACCTCCATAAGGTACAAATTAAATTTAATTTAAACATATATACATGTACACACAAACATCCTCTGCTCGCAAATAGCTTGGTGAGACGAGGAGGGCAGACGAAAACATAAAGTAATTCATAACTAGGAAGAAATCAAGTAGAGGAAAGGATTTTAAGGAAGATAGATCTATATGAATGACACAAGAGGATGGTCTGAAGTTATTACAATACAACATTACAAAAATAATATTCAAACTTATTTTACATTTCTTGTCATCTTATTCTTGCTTAGATTTCTATGAAAAAGCTACCTTTTCCTATTAGCCCACAAGAGCAATAATAAGGTGCCAGGGGCCAATGTGAACTGCTGGAATAAAGCTCTGGATCTGACATTCTTGAGATACTTTTGTCAAAACCAGACCCCTAGGCTTTCAACAATCTCATAAGTCCCACAGGCTAGTTGCAAAATTGACAACATTTATGTTCCCTGTATGTTTTGATAATTCAAACTTTTACAGCCTCTTGTCATAAAGCTTGGAAACAACCTTAGTTGTTCAATTGCCACACAAACAGTCCTTGGCCAGGCAATTATACAAAGCAGTAAGTATTTCGCTTAGAGTGAAGGGAAAGCATGTTGCCATTTAAGCATGAGCGTGTAACTATATATTTACCTTCTGGATCTGACCAGAGCAAATCACACATTGGTCCATCATGGGGAACCTCTTGTTTCCTATCAATTGCTCGGATCTAGTAAAAAAGTTTGAAGTGTAAAAGAACTTCTCCTTGACACCATATAAATACTTAAGCACATGCACCATCAAGTCTATGGCAGAGAAGGACATCTTTACATCTTTGTTTTTCAACCAAGTAATATGTTGCTGTTTGCATTTTTGACACTTTAAACCCATGCATTTCCCAATAACTAATGTAAATAAATAAAACACCTTACCTGGTCTAAGGTTGTAATCGATGGAGACAGACCGCCATGAACACAAAATATCTACAAAGTGAAAATGAACCAATTAGGAATAATGTTCTGTATACATCCAGTGTTCTACACAAATGAGAGCCCCAGTACAGATGTAAAGTAAACATTAATGGCACACACAGAATAGCTTCAGCGAAATCTGTTTGAAAATCAGTCTTAAAAATTGGTGTAATGCACTATACACAGCCCATATGGAATATGGAAAGCAGCAGATTGCCATCATTCTCACTAGGAACTCCTGAACATAAAAGGTTGTTTCTTGTTCATGTTACACAAGATTAATTGTAGTCAGCAACACAACTACAGATGAAACAGATGAAAAGTAAGCTTACCCTATCATCAATAATAGCCGACAAACTAAGGTAGTCAAATATCTCTGTGCAGTATCTCCACACTGTTATTGATCCATACTTTTTCAAACACTCATCATAAAATCCATAAACCTGAAATTGAAGAGAAATTTATAATGACTTTACTTTTTGAAAGTGTTTCTTGATAAGATTTTTGAGTGGAGTCTTTTTTTAGCACAAACATACAAAGTATATACAGACGAACCTCGATAACTCAAACTTGGATAACCTGAATTCCCTGCAAAATGGAACCAAATTTGCTTTCCCTTAATCAAAATTTCATTGATAGTTACCTGGATAACTTGAATTCCCTGCTAACTCAAACAGTTTTTTGTTTCCCTTCAGAGTTCGAGTTACCGGGGTTCTACTGTATATTATTTATTTTGCATTATAAGTAGAGTAGTTTCCACTGATATGAAAACATCAGCTAAATAAGGTCCTGGCATGGGTTGTTCAAGCATTGGATAGCGCTATAACATACTTGATTTCCATAATACTTATCTGCTGGATAGTGATTTATCCAGTGGATAGCGCTATCCAACGTTTGAACGACCCAGGCTAAGAGTGAATTGAGTAGACAAATCTATAATACCTCAATCACCAGTGGTTGACATGACAACCACTTTCTTTTTTTGTATTACTTAATTTACTCATAGGTTTTTGCCACAAAATTCTAATGCACTCACAAATGCTTGCCAGAGGATATTCTTTTGACTGGCACCTTCTGAAAACAACTCACATTTAATTGTGGGAGTTTGCGAGGATTTATTTCGAGTCCCCTGTACATAACAAAATAATCTACTCCTTTTATAAAGAAGGATTGTTGCTTACTTTTTCAGTTCCTGTCAAAGCATATTATAACACAGTCACAGTATACAAGTACTTTATTACAATCCATCTAACACTAGATGTGCAATTTATACTCATGCCATATGATGCCATTAACCTCCACCACCTCAATAATATTAATAGTGACCAACAACTTGTTTTGTTTTAACATCACATACCTGCGTAATCTGTCTGCTCTCATGGTTCCCTCTAATTAATGTTATTCTGTCTGGATATCGCACCTTAAAGCAACAACAGGGAAATACTTTTAGTACTGAACAATATAACAGGTAACAACTTTTATACCTACATGTGCCTTACACTTTAATAAGCACCCCTAACTAAATTGCAAATGAGATTCCCTGTAAATGAAAAGCCCCCCTTCTGGACTTCTCCTGAAAATTTACAGTAGAAGGAAAAATAATTCAAGAAGGTGTCATTTGTTTCAATTGAAAAGCGCCCTTCACATGGCCTCTAGCCCGATGTGAACTGGGGTAGGTTATTAACCTATTTACCTGTGCATATCAAATTCGCACCACTGTATAATATGCAGTCCAAATTTTAACAAAAGGTAGCCACATAAAACTCTTTTTGCCTTCTCTGTTTTTTACTCTCAGTATTCACTGGTTTCTTCATCTTACAATAATAATACAAAGAGTAAACCTGAATGCAAGATATTAACATGTACATAGCAGTCTTTGATCATCGTTCAGTTTGCGTTCCTAGTTCATGTTGTTTGCTTGGTAACAAGGCACAATTTATTGAGCAAGTGCTTCTTTCCAGGTGGTGGTTTGTTGACATGTTCCTTGAAAGTCTAGTATTTCTTTTGAGAGTTTGTTTAAAGCAGTGAGCTTCTAAATGTGAAATAAAAACAGCAAGACTTGTATCTGTAGGATTAGGCTTGCATTGCATGCTGGGTTTGAGGTCGGCCATCTTGAATAAACCTCGAGCTAGCTTGTGTTTACTTGGAGTCTCCTCTCTTCTTCGCCTGATACTACAGTATCTACTCTGATATTTGGACAAATTGGATCTGAATTTTCTACTTTCTTGAAAAACTGGTCGCATTGAGCACATTCCATTTGTTGTTATTGAAAGTACAGAATGTAAAGACCAGGAAAATAGTGTGTAGTTAATAGAACCAAAAAGACTGCAAAAAATAAATTATTCTGCAAATCATTTGCTTGAATTGGTGCACCATGACATAGAAATTTAATAAATACTAACAGTACACAAGACTGCATGTTAATGACCTAGCCCTGTTAAATAAGCATACCCCTTTCTGATCAGTACCCCAATCATATACCTCTAGATTTTAAGCGTGAATCTGGAGCAATCATTCAGGGATTGACTGTGACGTACCTTTAAAGCTAATAGTAAAAGGAATGTTTCTACACTGTAAAATCCTCTGTCCACAAAGTCACCCATAAAAAGGTAGTTTGTGTCAGGAACATCGCCTCCAACCTACATTTCAATAAATAGAGAAAGGACAACAAATTAAATGAAAGTGTGGTTTTCTCCTGGCTGAGGAGGGAAAGAAGTGAAAAAACTTTTTTTTTCCCACACGGCTGGGAGTCTAGGTTCAAGTGAGTGGGGGATCTACAGGTTGCATGGTGTTTTAGAGTTCAGTTGTTTTTGCTGTCATCAGCCATCGCCCGATCTGCCCTGTCCACCCACTTTTCATCTGTTTTTTGGGGTTTTTAGGATTTAAAGTAGTGCTGTAATATATTATTGTGGTAGGTAATGTATATAGTCTCCGTTTCCTGTCAGCTGTATATCATCTCCTTTGTGCTGTGCTTTTGTGCTGTGCATGGTTGGCTTGGCATGGCTCCCAGTTGTGTGGGAGAGTATACATTTTAATCATTGCGGTTGAAGCTCTCTTGTTAGTGGATGGCTCCAGTTCCAGTTGTGAAAGCTTAAGCTTCAACTGTATTTCACTATACATGGCGTTAAAGTAGACAAAAAGATGCAGTTGATGAAGATTAAGTAGATCAGTAATGTGCATGGGTGTTAAACATGATATGTTTATGTGTTGGGCAGCTAATGAAGTTAACTTTCCTAGTCTTTGTAAACAGTCATGTGGCTCAGTTTTGAATATGCTGAGGTTGTGAGATTTCTTTATCAGGGAGACCATAAAATAGACTGTTTACAAAGGTCCAATTTGGAGGTTGATCCAGAAACTGACAAATTGTTTCAATATGCCTGAGGGTAGAGGATTCAGACTTGAAGAGACTGCTCACATGAGTAGACATTACAAAGCACTAGTAAAGCGTGACCCCTACATTGAAGATCACAGGACCTCATGCTTGTCTTCATCTCAGAATTAGCTACATTCACCATATCTATAGATTGATGCTGCAGATAACAAGATGAAAACTGCTCAACTTCTATTTTTGATTTGATGAGTTACACATAAATTTGTTTGCAGTCATCCAGAAAAAGATGTCTTGCGTGCACAGTTCTAACCTACTCCGACAAGATGATTGTTTTTGTCTCCACATAATCAGGTACATTTGGGTGTCACTCAAGAATGCTCTTCAATAGGGCCAAGCACGTCAGGTAAGTTTTTTATTTGGAGTCTGAATTTAGAAGGTACTGGTTAACTGCCATTTTTTTATCTGTCACCTCTTGCTTCTTACACTACTGTGTTGGACTTTAACATGGCAAAAGAAACATTTTAACACTCACATGATTATGGTAACTAACTTAAGTCTTCAGATTTTCTGCTTCTGTTAAAACCAGAGTTTTTTCTTTTATTTGTGTTCAGGTTAACAATACACTTTCCATTTACCATATTATTGGATTCCTTTATTTCTCTCTTGTTTTCCATACCTTAAAAAGTTCTTTTAAATCATAAAACTGTCCATGGATATCCCCACATACCTGTCAAGAGAAAGACAAAGATATCAAGCCCTCATGTCCCATACTTGGCACAACGTGATAATCAAAAATTGGAACAATTCACACTTTACCGGACATTTTAAAGAGGTGGTAACATAGGTCACAGTGAAAAATAGAATTTGAATTTGCCATTCTCACTTGACATTATTGCAAATTTTCGGAAAAATCAGAAATAAACTCAAGGACAAAAGAATTTTAAAATTGTCATTTTAAATGTTTATGCGGTGTTTCAGTTTTATCCTTGCTCTAAATTTCATTTTCTAAATTTCATTTTCATTGTTCTTGCCTATGGTAATGCATGTTGATGATTTTAAAATAAACTCATTGACAAACATTTCACGCATGGAATAGTAAACCTAGGGCACTTTCCATTTGTCAGAACAGACCAGCCAGACCATTCCCGTCCCAATGTTAATTTCACTTTCAATCAAAACTCTCCAGCCAGATCAGTCAAATCCTAAAATAATAGCATGCACAAGGGAAATGGTTTTTCAGCAAAGACTTTTGGACAAAGCCTATTTCATTTTCAAACTGACTGGTCTGGCCACAGCCTGGCCAGCCAGTTCTGACAAATGGAAAGTGCCTTTAGTTTTTCTCTTGTCTGAAGTGTTAAGGTACTTGTCTGCAACAACTGGAGGCTGCTTTTTTTACACAGTCTCTCAGGGTGCAATGAAAGTCATTTTTAAAGCTTGCCATTAAGGCAAGCTGAAGGTAGCATACACTAGCCCAAATGCCACTTTAACTAGCCCCAAAAACATTTTGATGAGAACAATTTATTGATTTCACAGTTCTACTGTAATTTGAATTCCTCCAAAAACTCCACTTGCCCGTAGAGCAAGTTAAGAACAAAATTCACTAGCCCGATAGCAAATTCCACTAGCCCCGGGCTATTGGACACTACTTTCTTTGCACGCTGACTCTGCAGTTTCATAAACAGACACTTACAGTAACAGGTGAATCAACTTTCTGAACATTGGATTCTTCAACAAGGATTTCCCTGTGTTGGAAGAACAAATATGCATTTAGTGGGTCAAGGGCAAAACATTATTGCAACATATTATTAATGGGGCCATAACTAACATCTATGAAACCTAGGGCTTGCACTTCAAAGTCTGGCACCCAACTGGCAATTGTTATTGTACAATAATAATTGTTATTGTTGTTTTCTACCAATCGGATCATTACCTACTCTGTTTTGGAACATTTTTTAAAAACTTGAAACACAACAATAAGTGTAAGAGAAGCTGATAAATGGTGAGGATGCTACTGTAATTCAACCAACTGTATCTGGATCGTCAATGATATATTTTATTCCAGTCTGCACCAACAGTTGTTGATAGCAAATGTGAAAAAGATGCCTTTTGGTCCATTTCTGTTACAATTTCACCGCCAACTTTGCTAAACCAGGATCGATGGAAATACCTTAAATCAGTAGGCATTGCTGCTGAGTTTTTTTGTGAAGACCAAAGTGACAAAGAGGCAAAAACAACATATGTTTCGTGTCTCACGACATTTCCCATTTCAGACATTTCATAACGAAACTATAGATTAAAATTTGAAATTACATCACAGACATGATCGGCCACTCTCAAGTCCAGATGTCTCTTCTTTGGGCAGGAAAAAGACAGAACCCAAGGGAGCAGTGGAAATCAAGCCTACTATTTTTACTAGTCTGACCAAGCAGTTCAACTTGGGACTACCAAGAGCAAATCCAGCTAGCGGTTAGGATGGGGAGCAAACTCTAGTCCTCAGGATTACAATCTCAGCACTCAAATAAATGCTTACCCAGACTTTAAGAGATTAATACTGGAAAATGCCTGAATCTTTTAGGTAACCTATTACATTCTAAGTGGCCAACCTCTACCACGCCAGTCCTAGTTCTGTAATTGATAAACTGATAATTGATATTAATCAAGAGTAATTGATATCAATCATCGATGAATATCGATTTCCAATATTGATTGATAGAAATTGATAAAGAAAAAAAGTTGTGACTTTGATTAATGTTGATGATTTTCTGCTAGAAATCGATGATGATTTTTTGACGATTCTTATCAATTCACTACGTCTGGTATCAAGATGCCAGTTGCTCCTTTACCAAGGACAGCTACTTATTAGTCTCGCTTGCTTTAGCAAAGCGAGAATCTTAAAATGCGGTTCGGTTTTTTTTTTTTTCGGTGGGACCTAGTTTGTAGGTCCCGCGTTCCTAGCGAAGACCGTGGAAACTGGGGATAAGAATCGTGACGACTTTCATTGTATGGAAATGAGTCTCGTGATGAGCATGTGGTTTATTTTGGGGGATGACTGGAATAACGCGCAATGTTTATCACGTTTAAGTGCTTTTCTTCCATGCAAGAAATCAGACTTTGTCTTTTGCGTTAAAACAGGTTACGTTTCATGCTTATGACATAGTAAGCCGATAAAATCGTAAGTGCAAAACAGACATAACAAAAAGTAAAACTGTAAACTCTCTCTGATCTTATGGTAATTTGGTTCTGACCTTCACGATCACGTGCGAAAAAGTAAATACAGCTAAACGTGACAGAAAGAATAGTTTTGTAAAGACGTGTTCCGGGTCATGGTAGCGCAGAATCTGGGGATGAAAATCGACACGATGCTCTCAATCTCAGTGAACGCTTCGAAAAACAACGCGCAATTGTCCGAATGTTATGTTTTGAGACGAAAAATTTGGAAAGATTAATGGATTATACGGTGATGTCGCTTACAAATCCACACACCATTCGTGGTAGACCCACACTAAAAGATGTCGAGCGTTTTCGGAATGGTTCGTTCTACGAATTCTGTCGTTTGAAAGCGTTGATAACTTTGAAAGAAGTGAATACATCAGATGTTGAAACAAGGAAGAATGTTCATGAGCAGAACTTCGATGATGAGGTAAAAAACAACAAGCAAATCGTCGTTAATTTACCTCTCGTGTTCAACAGCCTGATTCTTTTCCTTTTTTCATGATGCTGGATACTTAATTGTAACGAACAACTTGATATTTCGTACATCATTAATATTATTGTACAGGTGATGATAAATGTCGAGGAAACAAATCTTGGGCCGATTTTGGAATCTTTGAAACTCAAATGAAATTCAATGAAATTGCCTGATTTGACTAACCTGATCTAGAATTCTTATGTATTTGCGAAATACTGTAGGAAAACGGCATAAAAAAGAATTCAAATTCATTTTCGGCGACCGAAATTTACGGCTTCGAGACAGCACTTCCGTTTGCTGTCCACTTGCTGTCCACCGCAACAGATGATGACGGAAATGACGTACTAAGGTAAAAGTGTTCAAGATCAGAGCAATAAAAGAAGATGGTAAACCTACACGACTTTTACCTCATGCCAAAATGCTGCTCGTTCCAATAAAGTTTTTTTCGTCTGCTGGGTAGATTATGCTCTGGAAGGTTCTACATTTTCACTGAGTAAATGTTATTTTACCCGCATGTTTCACACTGAGAGATCATGACACACATATCGATTTACTGTGGCTATTAGCGGGGAAGAGCGTTGCGTGACGACATTAAAAACGGCTGTGTAGCAGACTATTTTGAAGCATGATGGTGAAGCTTTTTATTACGGCTGAATGAGGGTTCCAATTTTCTCCAAAGTATCTTCTGGATCTGAATAACTAAGCGATTTTCTTTAGTCCATGAATGTAATGTTTTTGTGCAATGCTGTATCACGTTAAGCCCAACTCATTAGTTTTGTTTGGAAAATCTTAAATTATTACGGGTAGTGATTTACAGGTCGTGTGTACTGTTGCAATAAAACGTAATACTGAGTAGAGCGGAGGTACAAGGCAACTGTAATATCATCACGACTGAGCCATTCTTCGGTGGTTCCAACAATGTTACCTCTTGCGTCTTTGGCTGTTCGTTTTGCGACTGGGAAGTGGGAAGCCTTTACACAAGCGAAACCTGCTTAAAGACATCGAAGACTGTTGGCATGTACCCAACAAATCTTCAGTCTTGAAAGATCTTCACTTCACTTAAAACTCTGTTGCCTTCGCATAGATCTCTAAGATCTTTAAAACTCCCTCCGCAGCTGATGTTTTGATTCTCGAATTAGCAGCGGTCTGTTGCTTTTGCGTTTCCGGTCTCATTCACTTCCGTCACCGAGAGATGCGGTTCACAACGAACTAAGTCACGTGGTACAAGTATCCTCCCTTATCCTTTTTTTACTCGCCACTTCGCGCTTCGGTCGCCCTTCGGGCGGCGGTCTTCCGTCACCCTTCGGACGACCTGCTGTGCACCAACGAGAATATAGCTTGCGGTTATTGATTTTCAAAATGGCGAACAACAAAGTCGATCTGGATCAGGTAAAAAGCAAAGAAATCCTTTACAGTAGATTCATAAAGATCCCATTGGGCTAATTAATTGTGCTAAGCGACAGGTATAAACATTTTTCGAGGTGAGACTTTAAATAATTAATTTATTTATTCACATGCAACTCCTCTGGACCCTGTGCAGTAGATTGAAATCATAATTCAACTTTATCACTTGCTGTCGGTGACTATGAGGAATTATGACGAACCCCTGGGGAGGACGACTCTGCATATGAAAGGCAAGGGGATGCTCGTCGGAAATTTTGAATTAAACCCCTACAAGAGGTCGACCCGGGCGTAGCCCAAGCTTTTTGACCCCTGAGAGTATGTTACTGAAAACTCAGACAATACACGTATTTTTATATTTTTTCACATGCAACCCTAAACAAGACCTTCACGGCTAAATATAATACCGTTTTTCCCAGAACACCGTAAGTGAGACCAAAATCCGAAATTTACACCCCGGCCTAAGCAAGACGACGAGCATCCCAAGCCCTTTTATATGCGGAGCGCCCCCTCCCCCCCCGAGTGACGAACGCTCGCGCTCTATTCGCCTCCTCACTTCTTATCTTATCTACAAACAAGCGAGACTCAACGCTACTGAGAGCGTTCTTGTTTATATAGGTCTGAGTTTTTTTTGAACACCTTTTCCTTGCAGATCATTGTCTTTCCTATTATGTGCACTTACAATAACTACCACACTTAAAGTCAAGAATCAGAGTTTCATGACTCAAATTGTCCCCACTTTAAAGATGCACTTATAAGGATATTAGTTTCACTTCTCTGAACGCCGGAAATGAGAAAGACCACAAGAAAGTGTGCCTAATTACACGGTAATTTAGTTACAAAATTTTACATTTTGCGGTAAAGCATTGACTTCCTCTTCCAGTACTAATCATCAATCGCAAAACGTATTTTAACTTAAGCTTATGCTTTCCCACAATTAAGTCGTAAAAGAAGTTTTATTACTGGTATGTCGGAACCCACCTCGCTTTTGCACATAACTGCTTGACTTCTTTTTCAGTTATAAGCTCACAGCGTCTCAGCTTTTCGATTTGCCTGAAAGAAAACAGTTTATTTTGAGTGGAATGAAACAGCTATCCATATACCGATCCGATCAAACAGGCAAACAAAACAAAGAATGTCATCACTGCAAAAAGGTTTTTCGGTCTAGCAAACATGTAAACAAAATGTCTAATTCTAAATCTAGCTTACCGGTCCAAATCACTGCAGTCTCCCATATTTACACCTCTCCGAGAAAGATTTAAAAGATCAGCTTACCAACTTCACAGTAACCTTGAATGTAGCTCGTTATTCGACTAGTAAGCTCTTATATGTTTCGTGATGAAATACGAACCGGTTGAGCTTGCTCTGCGATCGACGACCAGACCGTAGCCGCTCAAAACTGGAAGATTTATACAATTTTATGCCCAGCAAAACAAGCCTTTTCGTTTGTCACGAAATGAAGCTTAATTTTACAGAGTGGCGTGAAAGGATTTTAACGATCTGAGACGCTAAACGCTGTCAAATTATGTGGATTTACAAAATAAAAGTCCTCATGGCCGCCATGTCAGAAACTGTGTGCTGCCGCGCAAAGTCACGTGGTATTACGTAACGCTCCATCTGCGATGACGCTTTGTTTGGCGCGAAAAGCAACTAAAGTGTGACAGCTGAGAAAACAGTCAGGGGGATAGTAGGTAGGCCCTCTGATCTGGGGAAGCACTAGTATCCAACTAGTATCCTGTTGGGTCTTGTTTTGGTTAGTCTTCTTCGCAACCGTTCGGGCCTGAGGCACACAAGTCCCCTATGTTTTGGTTATCGTGAGCCAGTTGTGCGAGCTCTTTACTCTGGGGCAGGAGAAAACAGGTGCAAAAAAAATCGTCTTTATGCTATAGAGGAAATAATGGTGCGAAGTTTTCATTAGTCCTACAAAAAACTCCCTTATTTCTGCTGCCATCATTTCTCTAGATGGATCAAACCCGCCCCGCCGAAAACTGCGAAAAAGGATGAGCGGGAAAAGAAAAGGAAAATGCAAGGTGGTCATAAAAGCTTGACACGTGACCAAGCGACATCTGTTTTAGTTGTTTTTGAAGAACTGGGGCCGAGAATCAAGGGGCGTTCGCTTTCTACTCTGTGTGTCCCTCTGTGTCGAAGAAAATCTTTGTTCGGTGCACGATAACTCTACGAAGTTAAACGCAGTCATGGGTAATTGTCATACAGTTGGCCCGAATGAAGCTTTAGTTCGCTCAGGTAAGATAATTTCTTATACGATTTCCCTTCGTCATGAATGAAATGCGTGACAATGAATCCCAAACATTTGATCCTATGTGTTGTCGATTTCAATGTAAGCTTACATGTTTTGTGTTTTCATCTTTTTCAGCGAAATTTTAGTGGTATTTTACATTTCTGGGCCTAAATCTAAAATAATGAATCTTTTAATGGCTGCATTTAAGCGTTATTGACCAGCTACAACCAACAAGAGCAGTGTATATTTCCATGCCCCAAGAGATTGCGAGCATGTTCCGCATTCTAATCGTTTCGCTATAAATTTCGTGTTTTAGGTGGCTGCTGTGGAAATGATGCGAAAAAGACTGTAATTGGAGGTTGGGTATGGGCATGGGCTTTCGTTACAGACGTGCAAACGTGAGTACATTTACTGCTATACACGTTAAGCACTTTAATTCACCAAATCGTTTTACGATCATCACTTCTGGTCGATGTGAAGTTCCTACCACTCAAGCAGGTGCCTTTGCAAATGACTTACGCATGATTCGTTTTGCGTGGTAAAATTCGCTACTTTAGAACACCTTTTAACCCAGTTTGGTGAACATGATAAAAAATTCAATTCAGTTAACCTACTTAAGAGGAGGCAAACAGTTAGTTTGCATTCCCGTCTGTTTGTATACAAAACTTTGGAGCATGATTCTTTGTCTCGAGGTTTTGCTGACGTTACATTTTCTGACTTTTTTTTGCGGAAATTTCGCACTGTGTGACAAGAGGCACATCTTATGTAGTGCTTCCTTGGACTTAGAAATATTATTCCAAGTAGATCAATGTCCGATTGGAGACTTATATTGTGCTAGATGATTAAAATATTTTTTAATGTTGTTGTAAATCTCTGATATTGCACAAAGTCCAATATACAGTCAGCTCTTTTTTAACTCCCTAAAATCCAAAGAGTGACCAAATCAATTTTCTCCTAATAACATCAAAACACCAGTAAGAGAAAAACGAATCAACAAAATGATTATGAAAGGGAAAGTGCTTTGATCTTTTATCATCCCTGCACTAATTATTAAGGAGATAAACAGCTGTATGGAGATCAGTCTTGAAAATTTGTATATAGATTATTGGTTTGTTAAGGGGGTTAATGGACATCCCTATAGGGTGGCAGGACTTGAAATTAAAAAAATCCTCAGGTCACCTTTTGGGGACCAATTGGTGAAAAATATTGTTACCAGATGCAAATTTTTAGGGATCGTGTCTCTTTTGTGGGGTATTGATCGATGTATTGACTGATATCTCGGTCGACTGTCGATCGACATATCGGTCGCTATGTCGATCGAGAGTCGACCAAGTATTGGCCGAGTATTGACTGAGTCTCTGTCGAGAGTCAATCAATTTACCAGCCAAATGGTGTTGTCCTGTCTATCTAGTATCGGTCGACAGATCGACCACAGTCGGTTGAGATAGCATCAGTGGTGTGTTGGCAATGTATTGGTGAATAGTCAGTCGAGTATCGGTAAGGTATCGGTGGTGTATCGGTCGGCAATCGGAATTGCCTAGAGTCGTTCAATATATTGGCCGAGTGATGTTTTACTGTCGGTCGAGTATCGACCAACAGGTGATCCATCGGCAAAGCAATGGCCAACTATTGACCGATAGACTGTAGTAGTCAAATACCGGCCATATATCAGTCAAGATGTGGCCGGCTCTTGACTGACAGTCAGCATACTAGATCGCCACTTGACTGATGTATGGAGTGACATGTCAACGGAGGTATCGCCGTTATGTTGGCTAAGTGTCGGTGATATGTTGGTGATCCATTTGCGAAGTATCGGCCGACCATGGGCCGACTATCAGCCACTAGAATGTAGCGGCGAGTGTTGCCAACATATTGGTAGAGACTCAACCGGCTCTCGACGGATACTCGATGGATTCTCAATTGACTGTCTGTCAAGCGTCGACAGAGTCTTGACTGACATAGCAACTGATATGTGGATTGACAGTCGACCGAGATATTGATTGATACATCAATCGACACCCCCCAAAAGATTCATGATCAATTTTTAGTTGCTAGTTTGTATATTGTAAATGACTATCTCAAAGTATGGTGTGATCCATCAGATTTGATTGTTTGAAAATATTGTGGACAGAAGTTGGTATAAATTTGGAGGTAAACTGGCTTTGTTTATGCAATTTGGCACATTTTTCAGGGCAAAAGCAAAGCAAGATAAGATGAAGTGTTTGTTTTAATTTTACTCTATAAATTTAAATCTTAATCATATGGTAATCTGGTCGCCAAAGTGGTGACTAAACCAGAATTGTTAGTTGCCAAGGAGAAAATGTTAGTCACATTGGTAACCACATCAGTCGCAATTTTGAGCCCTGGATAGACCCCTTTCTGAAACAGACACCTACAGCAGGTACAGCCTTGCAGTCCTCTAGTCCTTTGCTCTGACTCCTTTTGAGGTGGACACCTCAATAAGACAGACACTTGAGGCATGAGAGCCAAATGGCCCGGGCTTCTCCCATTTTCTTTAGCAGCACCTTGTAGTATATTTTTTAATGCTTCTGATAGGTTGCGGAAAAAAAGAAGTCAAATTTCACAGGATTCTCAGAGACAGATTCAGTTGATTTCGCTGAAATTTTAAGGGCTAACTCCAGCTTTGCAGCCATGTTGTTACTCTCCCCTTGATGGGATGCTTATGCATAGCAGGTTTAACCTCAGCCGTATGCCGATGGTACCAAATTCATGCAAAGGGGAGCTAAAGTTTCTTGTCCAAGGAAGCAATCATCAATCATCATTGTTGTGACTTAGTTTCTAAAAATTTGCATCAACAGACTGACCCTGGAAGTTATGACATTAAATCCCAAATGTGAAAGTGTAGAAACAGCGCAAGGTGTTGCCGTCACAGTAACAGGAGTCGCACAAGTAAAGGTCATGACAGAAACTGAGCTGCTGAAAACTGCTTGTGAACAGTTCTTGGGAAGGACAACGGGTCAAATTGAGAATATCATTCTTCAAACCCTCGAAGGCCATCTGAGGGCTATCCTAGGAACGTTGTCTGTCGAGGAGATTTATAAAGGTGGGTGATAAACAGGCATTGGTATTCAAGGTTTAGAGAACATGCTTTACCACCATCAGACAGTAGATGGTAGACATTGGACATCAGATAACAAGTGATAGAAGGTTCCAACAGGATGGATCATATTGCATTCTTTGCATCCCATTCATTCTTACTGGAATTCCAAAATCATAAGGAATTTCAAGTGTCCCAAAATAATTATTGCAGGCAATCAGAGGAGCCCACGATACTAACCTCCACATTGCTAATATGCATGCGTGGCACATATGTTGTCAATATTCATTTTTTAATGAATGTTGACCACATATCTGCCATACATATGTGTTAGCATTGTGGATATTAGGATTGCGGGCTCCTGGTCGCCTGCAGTTATACTGGGACACTTACAGTGCAACTACGATAACCAGGGACACTTAGACAAAGTTGACCAATCAGATTAGTGAAACATACTACATTCCAAGAAAGTTGGTTGGGGGCCAATCAACAGCTTGTTTAAAAGCAATAAGTTACTTGGAGCACAAATTTACATATTGATAGCAACCGTTTTTAAGAAAGCAAAAGTCTCACCAGACAATGTACCATAGAATTCCGAAAATAAGCCCCGGGGCTTATATTTTTCAAAGACCCTCTTTGAGGGGCTTATTTTTGGAGGGGCTTATATTCGGAGGGGCTTATCAACGGAGGAGAATTTGCGTTTCAAAATCGATTGGGCTAGCCTTGTAGTTGGAAGTAAATTTACCGTTTTTGCTTTGTATTTGAGGGCAATTTTCTAAGTACAAGCCCCCTAGATGCTTATTTGAAAGGGGCGATTTAATGGAGGGTTTTTTGCATTATCGGTTTGGGGGGGCTTATATTATTTTGGAGGGGCCTATACATGCAGGGGCTTATTTTCGGAATTTTACGGTATTTCTATTTGAAACTTTACATTTAACACCCAGAGACATATTTGTTAGACATGTTATCTTGTCATCTTCAGCAATTTCTTCACTACAATTGCTGCGCTTTCAGTAACATCACAATGTCTTGTCAAAAATATAACTAATGTTTACGTTTTTTGCCTCTGTCAATACCCCAACAGACCTCTCCGGAAACATGGGCTTTTTTTCAGCAGGTTCAAAAGGTCATGTCTGTAAGTTGTAATATTGGTTGATTTTGATCCATGTTGTTTATTTCGTCTCCTAGTAATCATGACTGATAACTAACTTTCTCAGAATGTACAGTATTGTTATTTTTTTCTGTAATCTGAGTGGTCAACTTTTCCTAGGTGGGCCCGGTTATAATAGTCGCACTGTAAGGTTGCACTGTAAGGTTTCTTTTGATTTTACGAGAAGGACAGGCTGTCTGCTTGATAAAAGGCTATGATTATCACTTACTTTATTCTGTATTCAAAGATCGTGAAGCATTTGCTGCACTGGTTCGTGAAGTCGCATCCCCAGATGTTGGTAGAATGGGAATTGAAATTCTCAGCTTCACAATAAAGGACATCATCGACCATGTCAGTTACCTGGACTCGCTTGGTAAAACTCAAACAGCTAAAGTGAAGAGAGATGCTGATATCGGTGTGGCAGAATCCAACCGAGATGCTGGAATTAGGGTATGTCACTAGTAAAAGCAAGTCTCATTATAAGTACAGTCAACTCACTCTAACACGGACACCTTTGGGACCAGCACTAAGTGTCCATCTTAGAGAGATGTCCGTTTTATAGAGAGTCAAATAAAGGGAGTAAAGAAAGGCAGGGACCAACTCTTAAGTGTCCATTTTACAGAGGTGTCCATCTTATAGAGGTGTCCGTTAAGAGAGAGTCGACTGTAATGTCTTAAGGTGCATTCCTTTGGGATGATCTGGATCATGATCATGATCTATCCTCTTTGTCTCTCTTTCAACCAGATAAGCCCCTGCTTTGTGAGCCCCATTGGGATCAATTTAGGTTTGTGGGAAACTGCCCACCTACCCCACCCCTAAGCTAACATTAACACTTACTTCTCGCTTAGGACAGAATGATGGCTTAGGGGAGGGGTAGGTGGGCAGTTTCCTAGAAAATTAAATTGGTCCCCCCATTGGTTCACATTGCACCCTTTTAGATGTAGCTTTTACAGTACAACTCCTATTTGCTGAATTATTTTCATCACAATAGTAATAATATTATTGTTATCAAATAATAAAATTCTTTTAACAGTTATTAAAAAACTGAGAAAAATGAAGCAATCCTTTTCTGTCACTTATCACAAAAGGCAAATTATTGACTTGATTGTTCTTCTCTGTGTATTTACCAGGAGGCAGAGTGTGAGAAAGAGAAGATGGATGTTGCATACCAAGCACAGACAAACATTGCTGATTCATCAAGAGAATTCCAGATGCAGAAAGCTGCGTTTGACCAAGAAGTTAATGCCAGGAAAGCAGAAGCAGAATTGTCTTATGAATTACAGGTACATTGTAAAACCTTGTTTTGTGTCAAAAAAGGAAGGATTGCATGGAATAAGATCTCAGGAGGGAGCTTTAGCTTCTATGATGGCAATGGCAGTGAACACATCACCTTGTTCAATTTTTAAATTGATATAGGCCAATTTTTCTGGCGTTGAATTTTAGAGCTGATAAAAAGAAATATAAACAGAGATTATTTTTTGTGATGTTTTTAATTCTTTGTCTACAGGCTGCAAAGGAGAAACAGAAGATCCGAGCTGAAGAAATCCAGATTGATGTTGTGGAGAGAAAGAAGGAAATAGAAGTTGAAGAGAAAGAAGTGTCCAGGAAAGACAAAGAACTGTTTGCCACTGTTAGGAGACCTGCAGAGGCTGAGAGCTACAGGGTTGAAACAATTGCACAAGGAAAAAGGTATGCTATGGTATAGGTATGGTAGAGGTACAGTATAGGTACAGTATAGGTACAGTATAGGTACGGCATAGGTACATTATAGGTACGGTATATAGGTATGGTATAGGTACAGGATAGGTACAGTATAGGTACGGTATAGGTACAGTATGGTATGGTATAGGTATCTGAGCTGTCTCTCAGGGCTGGGGGCCAGGGAGTTTCCTTGACTACTATGAGCAGGACTCCCCGATACTTTCATAGGAAACGAGTTAAAGAAAAGTAGGCTCAAAATAACTTCCGGGCTGTTCAATTCTTTACCCACTAATTGCATATATCCAGCAGTGACAAATCTTAGTGTCATGTATGGCATAAAGATGCAGCTCACTCAAGTTCTAATGTCCCCAAAGTTTGTGTAATTTCTGGTGAGCATTAGCAAGGCAGCATGCATAGTAGAAGCATACATAGCAGAAAAATCCAACATCTTTTTGGGATGTAAGACTGCAAGGTTAAACACTTGATTTTTATTATCTCTGAGGTCTTGCGTGAAATAGTACCTGGATGTGGCGCATAGCCGGCGGTGAATTTAATTTCTTCAAGCAAACAGTTTTAGTGACTTAGAATATTCTGGTTGAATCCTTTTTTTCTCTTACTCAGTGGTCAAATAATGTTAGAATAACGAGGTTGCAATTTTACCTGGTGGGCAGGAATGTGTTGTCGAAAGAAAATAATTATTGTGCCTCGTAATAATGAAAAGTGTTTCAAACTAAGCTGATTGTTGTTTATCTTTAGGACACAGACTATGTACAAAGCCCAGGCTGAAGCAGAGAAGATCAAGGTACAAAAACATTTTTTTTTGCATGATATAGTAAACTACCATGAAATTCCTGAAATTTACTGATCATTAATGGGATAAAGAGGAAAAATTACATACAGTAGTTTTTTTTACAAGGAGTCATTGATAAAAGCAGAGCAGAAAAAGTCTCTCTTGTATTGAAAGGGGTGGCTGGAATAAAGCTCCAAGTGCTGATAATTTGCTACAGGTAGATTCTCCTCCCAAACTATATTGTTTTTGCAGTTAAAACAGAAGGAGAATTTGATGTTGTATCAACAGTCACTAAGGGTTTTCTTCCATGAGACTCTTCCGTGGGTGGTTAGTGATACAGTGCAAGAGAAATCTGGCGGGAAGTGTTGCGAAGAAAATGCCATCTCCTTGTTCTGCAATGCATTTTTTTTATAACCACACTAATAATCAGCTTTGACTTCTGTCAAAGGTTGTGTTTTCTCTTTAATGGTTAGCACCTGGTGGTGTTGTTTAAGTTTTAGAACATTTAGGGCCGTAACTTAAAGCCAGAGGGCCAAGGATTTACCCTGGCAACTATAAGCATGGCCTCTGGCAACTTTCAAGAAGAACCAAAAGAATTTCCTAGCTGTCGAATTTCCTGCCTACTAACTACATATACATTTACTGAACAACTTGAAATCTTAGTGACAGTCCCGACATGGTGTTAATAAACAATTTTCTTCAACAGTTAACAGGTTCCTCGGAGGCTACTGCCATTGAAGCTATTGGCAAAGCTGAAGCTGAACGCATGAGACAGAAGGCTGCAGCTTACAAGATGTATGGAGATGCTGCTATGACTGCTTTGGTCTTGGAGGCCTTGCCAAAGGTACACTCTTATTTTCTCTCAGTTGAATGAAAAAGAGTGACTTTTTTTTAGTAAAATACAGCATAGCCTGTGTACAGACACCCCCCCCCTCCCCTATCCTTGATTTTTTTTTTGAGGGGAGCGGGCTTCTGTACACAGGCTAAATACAGCTGAGTTGTAAAAAGTAACCTAAAGTCAATTCTCTTGTAAAGAAAATTGACGTCATTAGACACCTCCCTAAAACGAACTCCTAGAGTTGGTCCCTTCTGTTTTTTGCACATATACTGTTGTTCCAAGTAGTTCTCATCCTAGAGAGAGGTGACTTAATATTATGAAATATTTGATCCCCCCTTGTTTTCAATAACTGAGTTACCCAAAAGCCATTTGTTTTGTGTGTTTGTGTTGCATTTGATGTGGATTACTCCATTTGTGCCCAGAAATGCACATATTCGATGGCCCTTCATATTAGACACAATATAATATTAGTATTATGTGCAACAGATTTTCTTGTATTAGGTGAGGATTAGGGCTAGGGGACACTTTGTTATGTTTGTCATAAAGAGCATGTATCTTGTTAGCATTCATTTCTGGACATTACTCTATTATCGTGCAGTTGTTTTGGCTGTTAAGTAACATTTTGGATGGCACCATAACAACTCAGAATTTCTTGATTTTTGTTCCATAGGTTGCTGCAGAAGTAGCCGCTCCACTCGCCAAGACTGACCAAATCGTCATTGTTGGTGACTCTTCTTCAGGCGTTACTAATGAAGTGTCCAAGCTTGTGAGTCAACTTCCTCCTGCAGTTCAAGCCCTCACAGGAGTTGACTTGAGTGGGGTAAGTGTCACTTGTGTGGCTTGACAAACCATCAGTGTTGTTTGACAATTTTTAAGCATTGTTGTGGGACTTATGATAAGTATTATCATGGCTTATGATTAACATCTACACTGTTTTTGTGAATGTCATATTTTCTATAGGACATTCCTTTTTGTGTTATATTGTGTGACAGTTATTACTACCATTAAACAAGATGTTGTGTGACAACCTGACTAGCACTGGGCTAGTTATTAAAGGGCGTTTAGCCAGTGTTTAACAAAACTGCGTTCAAAGCCATTTTCAGTTCACCTAATGCTAACACGAGTTATCGTGAAAAATGAAAGCATGTAAACTTTCTTCATAAGATCCAGGCCAGTCTGTTCCAAAGACTTGCTAAACCATTGCCTAAGTTAGACTTCATTTAAATAACTGACCCTTTATGATTTTTTTTTCAGGTTCTTGGAAAAATACCTGGTGCAAAATGAAGAATTCGTTGAGCTTCTGTCTCTTATTTTATTTTAGAATGTAATCTCAGCAAGCTGTTTATGTACATGTAAAGAGTTCTGGGTACCACTCATTGTGAAGCCTTGTCTCAGTCAAATTCTTTGTATCTTTCCTATGATAAAATCCAACATGCAAGTATTTTAGAGCAAAGTATATAGATCATAATTTCCAATTTGTGAAGAAAAAACAGTGGTGGCTGTTTAGAATAACTTAGTCGAGCCCTTATAATTATTGTGTTTGGCCAAAGTTAAGGCCGCATACATGTACAAGTTAGAGGCTCAAAATTTCCTTAAGAAGCTGGCATGCTTGTCAGTCATTCATTTCATTTTTCATTCCTGCGCATGCATTTACTGAAAGCCCGATCTACAGTGGGTCAGAAAGTGAGAATGAGTCTTTGTAGGTGATCCGTCTCCAAAATTAAATGTTTGTACACAATTTGTCAGATACAATGTTGATAACATGGAGTTGGAGGGGCATGTTGCATAAAGTAACCATTCAAACCAGTTGAACTCTTTATTGGCAATTTGGCTCACTTAATAAGATTTTACACAACGGTACCCCATGGACTTTTAGGAAGGCAAAATTTCTAGCGGTTGCAAAAATGGAAACAACTTTCTTCACCTGGAATCCACTATAAATGCACTGAGTAAGAATGAATGACATTCACATACCATTTATCATAAAAGTAAACTTCTATTGGAAAAGGACATAGAATAATGCGAATAATGCGTCATTGTTTTGTACTGTATTTTCAGTGGTGGTATAACTACAAATTCAGCCATTTAATTTCTAAAAAAAGTCTTTTATTGCTGAAAGCAAGTGTTAGACAAAAAAGCCAAATATTTGTAGCCTTATGCTTAGAATAATAATCTAAGCACAACACTTATTGTTTGTGAAAGGAAACATTTTTTTTTGTGGTTGTTAATTATGTTCCTGGAGAAGTGAGCATTTTACTGTATTTTATTGCTTTCATTACTCATTGGTCTGTTTCCCCTTTTTAGTTGAGTCAACAAGGTTTTGTCACCCATTTGCGGAAGACTAAATAAATCTCTTTTATTTAGCAGCACTTTGGCCTCTTCAGATATCACTATGAGTGGCTCCCATTTTGTGACTTTTTTTTACAAATTGTGCACTTATGCTGAATGTTAAAAGTAGTTAACTCTTTTTTCAAGAGTCACACGAGATAACCAAATTAAATGTTTTAGTGTTCTACAGACATACGCCCAACATTCGTATCTTTGTGGCAGGTGATATATGCTTGTTATAATACAGTAGATATTGTAATGGGTAAATCTCATGTACTCTAGAGTGTTCTGTGAAATCATTGAGATCTAGCTTGTGCCGTCAGTAGCAGCCATTTTGTAACTGGTTTCAAGTGTACCAAGGGGGTGGGCATCAGGGTTTTTAGCAGTGGGGGAAGGGTGGTGTCCCCTCCCCTAAGTAGATGGGATATCCAACCTAACTCGGTCAAGATGGCTGCCTCCAGTGCTTGTTCTCAATGATCTTACCAACAAAAATAGCAGGGGACTGTGAACAGTCTACATGTACTCCTTTCCTGGGCGATGTTTGACGCTTGGGAAAAAGAGAGTTGAGACCATAGCTGGGACTATCAGGCAATAATATTTAGGCACACAAAAAGGCACAATCTCCATTCAAAAAATAGAAACAGGTTGCCTGTACATACACTGCAACTCATGTACTGAGTACTACTATAATGGCTTTTGCAGGAAGTATTACTTCTAAGTTGTATGGTTTTATGGAATTTTCTTGGCTTCAGGTCCTACTGAAGTCTTAAATAGTTGTCGTCGTCCAAACGTTCAAGGTATATTATTATTACACAGCCCAGTGCTATGCCATGGTCCCCTCTGATAGTGATATTGGCAGTTTACTATTTAATCTTTCACTAAGTCAGGTTACTGACTAAAGCTATACCATAACAGTTCCTATTGTATTAAGCATTTCTTGGTCGATACTGACAATAAAATGGTATTCACAATAATATTTTCAGTTTGTCCTCTTTTTTGTTTTGTATGAGTTGTGGATAGCCTGTGTACAGCAACAATCACACATGGGCTCTCCACAGCTTTTCATATACAATCAAACATCCATGTATGATCGCCTCTTGTGGACGATCTTCTTACAAAAACACCAAAGTTTTCCAACACAAGTTGACTTGAAACCAAAAGACACACCTATAATAAATTGAAGGCAAATTGTTCCCAAGAATGATCATAGGACACACACAATCAGTTTAAGTAACCGTTATGAGCTTAGGTATATGTCATTTAATGACAAATTTTAGTAAATTTTACAGTGAATACTTCTTTACTTTTTTTATCAATTTAATAAGAATTCTTTTATTGTCCTTTGGACAAAGTTTTTTTTGTTTTCACAGATAGTAACAAAAGTTGCTGAAAAGCACGTCTGCTAGCCGAAAAGCACAACTTACAGACTTTGCAAAATTACATGTAATAATATTGTTGGCATGATCAATATACAGTTACAAAATTATATAAAACAATATTATAATTATACAGACTAGTACATCATTAAATAGCATAAATACTGTATGAAAAGCTGTTGTGTTATACAACTATGTTCTTAAGCAAGTGCCCTTATTTAAACATGATTCAATTGGAACACTTTTTATACGTTGATTATCAAGACTAAAAGCTACAATGGGTGACATAGTTAGTCGAGACACTGCACCCTAAAGGGCCTTTCTGATTTCAAAAAGGCAAAATGCAGTTTTTCCTACTCCACCCCTTCCAAGCAATGCTGTTTTGCTGGATGTTTTGAGCTTCATGTAAGAAACAATAAACACCCCAACATTGACTGGAGAGGGGTGCAGATTGTTTTGTTTTCCTATATATACGTACTCCATTTATATATACGGGGAAGCTCCGCCCCGAGGTCCAATCCCTCACCTTTTTATATCCAATTTTTTCAGAATAGGTGCCTCTTTCATATACCTCCTAATTGACAAATAGTACCCATTTCAATAAGATACCTCTAATAAGAATAAATCATTTTCATCTAACAGTTACTAAAGCAAACTGATGTAGCTATAAGGCAAGGTGCTTTTTTGTGACACAATTTAATTAAAGGCTTGTCATACTTCAAAACCTAGATAGAGAACTTGTATCAGAATTTTGACTGTCTGCACTGAAGGCTACTTTAAATCCTTTAATGATAGAATACCCTACCCTTCAATATTATCTGAAGCCTGAAAAAGGTAGACTTTTGGGCGGAGCATCCCTGTACAGGCCATCATAGGGCACCCCCGGCACGGGGGGAGGGGGGAGGGGGCAGCTCTCCTTCCTTCTATACCATTACCCTCCTCACTAATATTGCTTTGCTTGCAGCTCCTTCCCCTAATTCTCAAGATCCCCATAATAAGACAGCAAGATCACAAGTTGTAAGGTCACATAGTTATAGAATCTTGATAGACTTGCCATCTTATTTGCTGTAAGGACAAGGTATGAAGTAAGGTGTTTCCTCATAACAGTCGCAGAAAACAATAACTCATCATTGTTTAACATCATTTCCCTTTGTTTCACAGTAGGGGTATCGAACCAATTGGCTTTTAGGGTTGGGAGAGCTGCTACATGACCTGGAATGAAATGAATAAAGCTATGAAAGCAACATCATTAAATTTTTCTTTTCTTTTTTATGGTGTTGAACAAATCCGCCAGTGGTAGGTAGGGTAACAGTTTTAATAATAATTTCAATAAAAAAATTGGCCTTTATGGAAGGATAATATCCTTCCATAAAGGCATTACACAACAACCAACTAACATGCTCTTTCTCACACTGACTACAAAATGTTCAATCACATAACTGCACTGGCAGTCACTTAACCAAGGCAACTAAAATGCTATACCTCTGCCGTTATATAACGTACTGATGTGGGTTGACTCCCCTTATAATAATAGTGGGGGAGGTTGCCTTTTACTGTGCAATCATTGTAGAATAATATCACTGATCAGGGTCAGGGGAGGGAGGCAAAACAGTGAGAGGTACACAAGCTGTTTTAGTTCTAAGGAAAACTGATGAGAACTATGTAATACTGTTATCACCTTAGATGTAATAACATTTTAGGATTGAAATGTCCTGAGGGGGAAGGGGGGGTATGAATTTTGGCCACACAAACAAAACAAGACTCTGGTGCCTTTTAGGGAAGTGCCTCCCCCCGAAGACTTACATATTAGTTAAGTAGCAATAAACAGCTGGTCTCAGCTGTTCAAACTTTGGATAGTGCTATCCACTGGATCAATCACTATCTTACCAGTGTGTAAGTGTAAGGGAAACGAACCACTGCATTATCCAATGGATAGAGATTTAGCGTTGTTCACCTGGGGTCAGAGCCCAGTTGTTCAAGGGTGGATAACGCTATCCACTGGATAAAATCTCTAACCAGTTGATAATGCGATAGGTTTCCCTAATACTTATCTGGCACCAGTAGTTCACATGTTGAATAGCGCTATCCAGGAGATAAGTCTTACAGGAAAAAATTATAACAACACACTTTTCACTGGATAAAATCTCTATCAATTCGATAATGCAACAGGTTTCCCTAATACGCATTTGGCCCCAGTAGTTCACATGTTGAATAGCGCTATCCAGGAGATAAGTAATAAAGGAAAAAATTGCATCATCTGCTGGATAAAAATTTATCCAATGGATACCATCATCCATCCTTAGAACAACTGGCTGGGGCCTGCTGCGTAGTGATTTTTAATATCCGATGTATAACTCTATCTGACCTTTCAACAACCTGGGCCAGATGGATAGCTTCTGTCCACACAATAGAATGCTACACATTATTATAATCAGCCTGTTATCTTTTGTTGTTATCTAGGGTAGCCCGATGGGTAACCCATTTGCTGTTGCTGTAGTTGAAATTGTTGCTGTTGCATTTGCAGCTGTTGCAGTTGCTGTATCTGCTGCTGAAGTCTCATTGATTCTTGTTGCTGTCGCATTCCAGCCTGACCTCCTGATAGGTCAATTTTGAAGCAAATACAGTTGATTGAATCACACTCGGGAACAGCACAGTTGCATGCACAGTTGCAGTCACCCAACTAAAAAATACCAATGAAATAAATAAGTTAACAGGTAAACGATCATAATATTTAGTCAAACCTCCATAACGTACACCTTCTATAACAGACTTGCCTGTGCCACAGGTAAAACTAAACCCTGTTTAAGTCTGCCTGGGAGCCAGCACTAAAATCCTTGCTCTGGGCCCTGATTTGGTCTGTCAACCCTTTAAGCCCTAAGAAAGACCAGCATCAAATTTCTCCTTGTAATATCAATGCTTTGTAAAACAGAGTGGTCATGAGAATTACAGACCTGATCACACATGATGAATTTGCTTGATATTTTATCAAGTTCGCCCCACTCCTGCTGTAGGAAGCGAATAGTGACAACAAATGAAAATTCAAATTTTGATCTTAGGGTTTAAAGGGTTAAAAAAGCCATTGTTGATTAGCCAGTCAGGTAGATGGGAAATTCAAAACACACTTCTAGTATTTCGTTGAGGCCATCGGGCCCCCAAAACAAAGATCTTGGTGCTGCTCCACACACGATCCTAGACAGGGTCAGATTACGTCTGCAATGCAGGCTTATAAGCAAAGACCTACCCTGGAAAATACCAGAAAAAGGTCTTCCCATTCAAACCACTACTACTGTAGCCTCTCTAAGTGATCACACATGTATCATCTTGACATTTTGGGTTATCAAATAATACAGGAGGCTCATTATTGTAAAACCACAATTATTATTTCATGACCAGCTAAAAACTGAAGAGGAAATTCAGCGCCGTGCTCCAGCAGTGCCCAGTGGACTCTGACATCTTACTTTTGTTCTTGGGTGACTAGGATCTTGGATTTAGCATACATGCATTAATCTTAGTTTCAGCAAATACTGGATTTCACAGGCTCAGAGCAGAAAGGTCACTACAATATTTTTAGAGCACTGGCTTGCACTTTTAAATTGCTGACCGAACATCCAAGGAAAATGAGCATTAGTTCAAGTTACAGGTGGCTACAGGGAAAGGATTACATTTCTTATTTTTGGTTTGACATATATGCAACTCATTATAATAATTAAGTAACGATCAAACAAGTTTTACACAGTTTCACTTCACAGTGTTTTGGCAACTGCATCTTGAGTCTATTGTATTCTAGTTGAAAACTTAAGTACAAGTTAATATTCAAATGATGTACAAAGTACAAGTACATTTGCATACCGCGCACTCTGGTCCATTGCAGTCCTGACACATGGCTCCACCAGGCTCCGCATTCATACAACAACAGAAGGTGTTATCGCACCACTTAAAAGGCACAAAATGGAATATGGTCAGCTTTATTAGTTACGAGCTAAAAGACTTAAGCATTTAATTATAGATTAACAGTTACTAGTTAGCCCACTGTTTAAAAACAATCGCTCATATAACCAAAATAATGTTCCTTAAACTTTTCTGAATTCCTTGCCCAGAGTGGTAAAATTTGGACTTTTGGGTTAAATTATTCTTTGACCACTGACGAAAAGGAGAAGGTGCTTTGCAAAGCTTTGTGCTGGAAGAGACATGTAATCTGTAAATGTCTAGAAAGGACTTCCACAATGGTATGAGAAGTCAAACAGCATAATGATAGTATATATAATATTATTAAAGCTTGATATGGGACATACTTAAATACAGTATGTCCCAGCAATGATTTTTCCCCATTCACAGGAATATAAAAATTAAGCTGCAGCCTCTAATCGGCACCCAGTCTAGTGCTCTCCGCAAATTATAAAGATGAATGCCTGTATATTACCGAGACTACCAGAGGGTGAGTTCAAAAACACTGAATAAATTAAACCCCCAAAGAGAGGTTTAATACAAAAATATATATATATATTTACCAGAAGCCAAATTTTTGGGAACCTGGCAATAGCCAGGTTTCTGGTGACTGGCATGAGAATTTTTTAGGGGGCTTGCTGTCTTGGTTGGTCTCATTGTCAAGCACAGTCCCTGAGCTTATTTGCCATGGGGTGGGAAGGGTTGTCCATATCAATCCCTAATGGGGGAGGGTGCTGTAAAAGCGTGGCGTGGTTTGTTTGTCTCTGTGGAGACTAGGTTCACTGATCATGTGTCTGCTTTAAGTTTGTCAGGCCGATTGGCCAATGAAAGGATTCCCCTCAACCAAGTGCTTGGCTGCAAGGCTGTGTCAGGTCAGCGGGGGGTGATATGGCCTTGAATGCTCTGTTAAAGGCTAGCTCAAGACTCAAGCTGTGTCTGCTGTGTAGAGCCTTAAAGCAGCTAGAGATGACCAGGTTGAGAGTGTCTTTTTGATGGAGTTGAATATTCTTTGCTAATCAGGAACCAAGACGAGAGTCACCTTAGAAGGCTTATTGGTAAGAGCTGAGTTTATATACAATATTTACTTTATTTAAGTCAAGTTAAGCTGTTTGGCCTTGAGTTGCCAGTTGGTGCAGTTTTCATTAAATTCAGTTAGATATGTAATATACAGATAATTTTATTATATAATTATGATCATGGTCACTAGTTCATCTACTACCTGTTTTGTGGGACACACAGAATCCATACAAGACTTTTTACTTGGTGTTGAGCAATCACACATTTCTGCAACTGGTAGAAAGCAACTGCAAACGCAACATCGTTCTGTGTCATCTTCACTTCCACAACATGATCCACAACACATTTCTGACACCCAAGCTGGACAAATGCTTATTCCTTGAGACTACCAACAAATACATTTTTTTTAAACATTAATTACTGGTTTAGTCATGTAACCCTGTATCAGCTGATACTGTTAAGCCTGTGTAATAATCTTATTGTGTGATTATACAAGGGTTCAACTTCTTCTATAGTACTTCTGCTTTGTGTAATTTGTTTTTTCCAATAAACATTAATTCTAATTATTTTTTTCACAAAAACAATTTATGATAAATACTGTTTTTTTAAACATCTATTATGTCAGGTCTAGCCTACAGACCAATTTTGGTTTGAATGTTTTCACCAGGTCTGGAAATTCCATTAGCAAGGCTGAAGGTTGATTCAGCACAGTCAAAATGACCCACCAGCAAGCAATTCTGCTGCTCTAAATGGGATATTTGCCCTCTACGTAACATTTTACATGATTGTATAGTAATATTGAATAAAAACCACACAAATTTAGGCCTTGCCACCTGCTACTGTTGGTGGCTATCTTGTCTAACTATTGTAAAACATGTTGACTGGGCTGTTGATTTCATTATTGGGATGTGGGATGTGTTCCTCTGCAAAACTTAAAAGAACTTTAGAAGAAGAAGTACCTGTGACCCTTTAGAAAATGGTAGAAATTGAGCCCAGCCTTGTATGTTCTTTTGAAAAATCTTGAATTAAGAGACTGCATCATCATAATCATAAGACCTTAGGGTGGAGCAGGGGTGCGGGTTCAACCATCCCTTCAAAGCAGATAAGACTATAAAGAGCTAGCCTGAGTAGCAGATGTTATCTAACCCCTGTTAGCAATGTCTGAGAGGCAGCACCAATATTAAGATCCTTATTCTGGAACCCCAATGAACTCATGAATTACCAGAAGTGTGTTTCTTATTTCCCTTCAACCTGATTGCAAATAAACAATGGATTTTTTAAGTGGCCAATCATGGTGTGCGCTCAATCCCTGGTACACAGGTGGGGGCCCAGAACAAGGATTTCTGTACTGTTTCACAGACAGACTTAACCCTTTAAACCCTGGGATCAAAACTGAAATTCTCATTTGTTGCCCCTATTCATTTCCCATAGAAGTAGTAGGAGAAGTTGGCAAAACATTAAGTAAATTCATCTTGTGTGATCATCTCCTTAATTCTCATGACCACTCTGTTTTACAAAGCATTGATATTACACAGAGAAATTTGATGCTGATCACTCTTAGGGCTTAAAGGGTTAAACAGGAGGTGTAGTTTCGTCTGTGACGCACACTATGATGAACAGCATCTCATCAAAACAAACCTTTAAACACTGTCTGATGACGAGAAAAATCATAACAAGTACAAGGTAGGCTCCAACACCAATCATCACAATAGCAGCCGTTGGCAAGCCCTCATCAGAAGTACTGTTCGTAGGTGTAGGCTGTGGGCAAGTACAGATTGAAAGATAATTATCATTTTTATCAGGTTGTTATCAAGCTATACAATCAGTTAAGCCCTTTCAAGATGTCACATTTTGCCAAAAAAATGCTGTTTAAAGCTAGTCCTGTGAATTTCTGGTCACTATCTGTCAAGTGGGCAAAAACGTTAAACAACCCAAATTGTACTTAACAAGTCAAGCATGGTGCTGGCGTTCGATCCTGGTGCTTATTTATTACTAACACCTTTCAAACTTTAGGCATGACAGAAGTGAAAACTTCAAGATAGCTTTGGAAAAAATGATCAGTGCCCCTCTTAGCTTTAACCATTTTGTTCCTCTCATGTTCCCCTCAACTTTTGTTACCTTGTTTCCTTCTCTTGGTGGGAATTTACAAGGAATAACTCAATGGAAAAAGTTTTGCAAAACTCAGGGCTGTCATTAAAATTTTAAGGTGCCGGGTAAATGCTACAAGTAGGCGGGGAATCAAACAGCTACGGATATTGTTTGGTTCTATTTGTCTTCCATTTTCCTTCTAAAGTTGGGGGTCACATTAATAGTAGCTAGGTAAAATCCCTGGCCCCAGCCAGTGATAGGGAGTTTAAGATACCACAACAGCCACGGCCACGGCAATGAAAATGTCACTTAAAAAGTGAATTTGTGTTCTTCCAATCTCGACACTGATTACTTCAACTTATTTACTTTGTCAAATGCAAGCTCAAATGCAAACTCTTTTTGAGCCAAATTACTATATTCACTAACAGAAAGAAAAAGAAAATTTAGCCATCGCTTGTTTTTATACGTAGCCCAGAAAACGTGAAATTAGGCATTTTCCCGTCGTAGTTGTGCAGTGACAGCAAAGAAATATACAAAAAAAGCATGATACATGTGCAAAGTTGTTGTTTTGCCTATTCAACCTACTGCTTTTTGATGTTGTCTTTGTCATTGTGATGGTATCGGTAAGTCCCTAATGACAGCCCTGAAAACCCTAGAGGATCATGAATTCTTTGCTCAAGAAATAACATGTGGGTAGTGGGACAAGTGCTGCTGGTCCTTTGAATCCATTACTTTATACTAAACAACATTCAGTCTCCTAAATTTATAACCATATTCAAGACCCCTCTCCCACCTCACTGGTAATTCATGACACCCTTTTCTACACCCTAACTTCCTGATGGGCGATGACTCATCAGCCACTGCTCGAAACTGACGGTCCTTTACTCGTCTAAAACGAGTAAAATTAGCCAAAAAACGAGTAAAATTTTGAGTTAGTCGTTCTCATGGCAAGTGGAAGTTTTAGCTTGGGGATCTTGGTTTCACATTGTGTTAAATCAGCACGTAATATTTTTAAAATTGTTCTTTCAATTACGTTGTTTACGCTCATAACTTCCACGTTACAATCACCATTTTGTAAACAGTGAGGGAATGGGCCACATTTGGTTCTCAGTCCACGCTGCTGCAAATTGTGTAAACTTCATGAAACTCCGAAAAACATCGTGAAAAACGCGGCCTCTCGCGCTGGGATTTTGTTATGCCATTTCAAAAGGGGCAGGGAAGATGAAGAAAGGAAAGATGAAGAAAACGCTAATACAGGTGATTCCCAGCCAACAGGAGTGAAAAAGGCAAAGAAGGATAGAGACTTCAAACCAGCTTGGAAAAATGATTTTGTGTGGTTAGTTTACAATGAAACCGAAGGGAAAAATGTTTTGCCAGTATTGTGTAAATTTGCCAAACAGGAAAAACAAAAATTCGTCTTTCCGCAAAGAAAGCAATAAATATTTTCTTTTAGCCATAGAAACTCAAGATAAAAGACAAATTACAATGTATACTTTTCATTAGTGTCTATCATTATAATTAAAAAAGTGAGTCATGCTTTACTATGGTTTTTAATGTGAATTACATGTTTGTGACCAGATGATGGATGGCAGACAGGACTAGTAGAATTGCCTTCAGGACTAGTAGATGCTACCTACTACTAGTCCCGGGACAACTGACTAAAAAAGTTAGTTTCAAGCACTGTCAGCCCAAGGGGTGCTATTATTTCAGGAAGGATGGTGTAGTATTTTGTTTCTCCCATTCTGGGGGAACTGTTTCCCTTTTAACAACTAGGGGATAATAGTAGGGATAGGATGAAAAACAATCAGTGTAAACTCTTTATGGTGTCAAGTAATGAATTGTTGGTCTTATTCCTTATTGCATATTTCATAGCTTGCGAGCAAGCTCTCTGAGGCACTCTGGTGGCTGGGTGGGAAAAGGAAGGAGAGCTTCCAACTTCGTCTCTGTGGCTCCCAATCAACTGACCCGTCAGATTTCCGCCAATCAGCGTGAAGTGGAAATGAGTACGTATGTAAACAAACATAGAAAAACATGTACTAAGGGTAATGACGTCATTACTAATGTCATCTCCGCTAATCAACATTTTACACAGACTTTTTGGATGCAGATATTCAAATTCCAAAGATGTAGCTGCAAGCTCTCCTTCACTTTTCCTGTCCCGCTGCTAGAGTGCCCCGGAGAGCTTGCTCACAGGCTATTTAATACTTAATGCACAGCTAACAAAAACCCTGTCCTGTAGTCCAGTACAAGACGATTTTCTTGCTGGGCAACTAACTTTTAAAGCTTGCTTGCCCGATGAGCAAGGGTTCAGGCAAGTCAACCTCAAACAAAATCATTAATCAAGACCAGCAAGAAGTGGCCTCAGGTAAGCAAAATATGAGAGCTGCTTGCCAAAAGGACAAGCTGGAAATCAAGTTTTTTGGGGGCCCTGTTAAAACATCGGAAGTAACGCTAACGTTACACGTTAAGCCTAGTCAAACTTTTTCTTTATTTTAACGCCAAACATAAGCAGTCATTTATGTTTCACACTGACCCTTCTAATCTCGATGGTACTTACATGACCCATTTTATAAACACAAACAGCAAGGCGTGCACTAATGACAGTACGAACACGTACTATTATTTTTCTCCCGAAACGAGAGAAAATACTTACGCGAACAGTTGGAGCCATGGCAAGTTTCTAAGACACTTTTGCCTTTGTTGTTAAGCCTTTTTTATGGAGCAGGAGCCCGCTTTCGGATGTAAAACAATCATCACCTGCCTGCCTGCACGTTGTAGCTTCTAGCAATTCAGACACCGTTCCTCCGTAGTTTTAGAAGCCCATGGTTATCTTCGGTAATAACGGGATTCTATTCCGCAAAAACATAACATTAAGATAGCTCTGGATATTACCGGATAACTTGAGAAAACTAAGCTCAAGTACTTTCCGCAATCGATCGTTGTAACAACACGACGCACAAATATTCCCAATGTAATGTTCGGTCCCAGCTTTCCACACTGTGCATCAACGGGAGTGAGGGAGGGAGGGAGGGAGGGAAGGGGAAGGGGGGTAGGTGGGTTAGTTGGCTTGGCCAAATACCCACACGAGTCTAAAATATAGACAAAACTTTCCTGAGTTGAGACTAAAATCATTCCTATTAAGAAAAACTGACATCATCAACCAATTTTATCATTTTTGGCTTCTCTGCTACAGTTTATGTGCTGGATTTTTTAATGTCGCACTCCTTTGGCTTCAAAGACTCTTCAAAATTTTTGCTGCGGAGTTCGGTCTAGATAAAAAGGCGGAAAAAATAATCTTCTACAATTTCCTGAACTACTGTATCATTGATATTTTGTCTCCATTTTTTAGTTCAAATTCTCCTCGCTTTTTCATGATTTTGCACTTGAAACAATCTCAACCAATCAGAAGAGCCGCTGGTTGATGCGTCAGAAATTTTGGCGGGTTTTTTAAAATCAATTTTGCATATTTCGCGCTTTATCTTCTGAATTAGTTCGAAATTCGATTCTTCTCTGAATCTTTGCACCTTCAATTGTATTGTAAACCTCACCGAAAACTATGCTGTTTGTAATAAGTACCAAAAAGCCTCGGATGAAAAATGAAGGTAAGAAGCTCGATGCATCGCGACAACGCAAGTAGTAAAGTTTCAGCAGTTCCCTTTAACGCTCAACTAACGACACCAATAATACACTTTTATACAGCAGCAACGTAGCAACCTTTCATTTTAATCTGTATAACATCTTTCCCTCTACTTTGCTTATATTTGATAAGTTGAAGTTAGCTAAAGTTTGTCGTCAATCAGGTCGTCAATCATTGGCATTGTACAGGAAGGCAGGCTCTACCCGGGGGTTTATCCTAGCTGGTATCGATTATGGAAGTAAAATTAGTAAACAGACATTTCTTCAAGTAAAACTTACGCCAATTTTTGAACATTTTCTGGTGATTTAAGGCTTAAACGTAACTATCCGTAAATTGTGTTAAAAATTAAATTTTTAGTGCTGCACTCTTCCGCTGGGGACGAGGATAAACAATCGTCAGATCTAAGGCAGCAATAGAACTACCCAGCGGTGATACTATTCAATAATGTATCCCATGATCTCCCATGATCACAATAAACGCCAGATTCAAAATGGCGGATAGTATGTGCTTCTCTTTGAAGGCTGTTTCTAATGTAGAGATAGCATAAAAATAATGAAGATAATATTTGAGAATTTCACGAGATATTTACGAAGTTTTAACCTCGTTGATATAATACTGGTAGCCCTTGGTTAGCACTGTGTATTTTTGGTAGTTTACTTACAATGGTTTTCCAAATTACTTAAAAACAATTTTTCACTCCATGAATCAGAAATTAGACCATTCACAGCAAAATATATACACGAAAAAATTGTATCTATTGACTGCAGAAGAACAGGGGTGGATTATTTGCAATAATCTACCAAACAAATTTTCTTTTAAACTGTAATGGTATTTGTTTATTTATTTATTTATTTATTGTCATTGATGTTTATCTACTTCAGTTTGATAGCAACAGAAGTAATAACAGAGAGCCTAGTGGAGTGCAGACTCTGATACAACACAAATCACCAATAAGGTATTCATAGATATGTATAAATATATCTGCATACTACTTCGATGAAAATCGCTTTTACCATGTTAACTTGCGGCAATAACTAATTGTGGGGTCAATTTAATAAAAATATTGTAATTAAATTTTATTAAATTGATCCCTGGATTGGATCAAACCTTGTACTTCACTAACTGATAAATGGTTTGGGATAGAGTTACAGTGGTTAATATGAATATCCATTTTGTACACATTATTTAGCATGAGAATTTTAATATTAATGTTGTTATCAGTAAATACATTAGAGCTGGCCCCCCTCCCTCCCCCCAAAAAGTAGTTAAATAAATGAATAAGTAAAAAGATAGGTTTGTTACTCACTTCAGAGAAACAAACTGATATATAATCATTTTATCCTTAATTTTTTACTAGAGCTCAGATTGCAAAAGAGGAATATATGATAGCAAATAATGCTACAACCAGTTGCAAAAGTACTTGACACACTGTACCGTATTTTGGCATAAATGGCCTGTCCATGATCTTGTGCTTGTGATCCCCCCTCCACCCCTTATCAAAGTTGCTAGCAATACAAGACCATACTCAAAACTTGGAGGAACAACTTTGAATGGGAGGGAGGAGGGAGGTCAGTATTATATTTTACAGACCTGTGACCAGGAGCGATTTGAAGCAAGAAAG